GAGGTATAAGCAATGCCCTCGCATTGCCTCTCCCTGTGCTTCGTTTCGCTGCCGGTGCAACCCCGCACTGAAGAGGGGGACTTTGCGCCTTGGCATCAATCGCCTGGGTTGGTTTGGGAAGCGCTGAAGGAGGGGAACATCTCGCCCCTTGTCCTAGGTGCACCGCAGTGCCCTAGAAAAGTGCCACCTTCCCAAGCAACCCGGTAAAAAAGGTGTGCGCCTTGCAGTCGGCTTTTGGGTTCTGGGTTCTTAGTGTTTTGAGGCTAGGAGCAGTGCGCGGGACCTTTAACGCTAAGGGTTTTCTTTTCCCTTGTGTTTTATAGGTTTGGCCTCAAACTCACGTTTAGGACTCGCAGTCCTGGTTTTGTTTGAAACCCACCCACCCAACCCTTCTAAGCCTTAAGCGTGCTTAGGCTTCCCGGACAGTCCTCCAAGCTTGGAGCCTACCGGACAAGAACTGGGAGCGCGCTCTCAGCTTCGTATCAGGGCCCAGACCCGCGGTCTGGCCCTGTTTGCGTCTTTGGACCCGCAGGTCCTTTGATGCGGGCGTGGGCACGCATGCCACGCCCTCCTTTGGCATTTTAAAGCAAGGACACGCTTGTCTTGCGACATTGTTTTTCACAAGGGGGGGGGACATCTCGCCCCTTGTCCTAGGTGCACCGCAGTGCCCTAAGAAAGTGCCACCTTCCCAAGCAACCCGGTAAAAAAGGTGTGCGCTTTGCAGTCGGCTTTTAGGTTCTGGGTTCTTAGTGTTTTGAGGCTAGGAGCAGTGCGCGGGACCTTTAACAGATTAGTAGCTTTGGCGAAGGTCTGCGAAACCTGCGTGTGAGTGCCCGGCCTCAGCCACGCGCCCACGCACCCGCAACTGTACCCCCACCAACGCCGGCAGGCGCACAGGCACGCGCGTGCGCGCCACGCCCAGGCGCACGCGCGTGCGCACGCGCCCAGGCCCACACGCCCACCCCCCACACGCTTGCGCACTCGCGCGTTCGCGTTCACACACACACACACACGCTTGCAGACTCTCAAAACATACATCTTCTTTGTATGACATCCGACACGGCAATGACAATGCCTTGCTAACCTCGGATCCATGGAGGGGCAATAAGATTCCAATGTGCACGCGCGTAACCACTCTGCCAGATTGAATTTGAGCAATGAGCCGGAACTGAAAGAACAAAACACACATAGCTGAACAATCTAAGCTCTACCTGAAAGGCGACTGTGTTTGAAGCTGATGTGGGCCGAGCTTGGAAACGGTGTGCACGTGTTTAGACACCATCTTTGTCCATAGGTGGACGTTTGCAAAAGCAATCACTGAGCACTTGCAAGTCTTGATTAGGATCTGCAGACAGGAACATGTGCCACGATATGCCTCCGCAGTTTGATTCGTGGCAGCTTAGAACGCAGTTGTGCGATGGACCAAAATGGCAGAGGCATCAGCGGCGTTGTGAAACATGTGTGCGACTTCGCTGTACATTGCAGGTCGAGTTTGTTCCGCTTACTCATGAGTGCTGCTGACTTGGTTTATGACCTTTGCATGATTTGTATGCTCGCATCATTAATTGGCCAGGATTCTCAGCCAAAGTCTCTCAAACATCCACAGGGCTGTCAGCGTCCTCAGAGCTTCAGTCTTATTGAAGAGAACAGTGGACCGTGTTTGGATTCACAAGGCGAGCGGAGGCTTTGCTTTCACCAAACTGGATTGCTCCAACAAGGTTGGCAAGACAGATGCACTGGCATCAAAACATGTGCAATGCCCTTCTGACTATTTCTGCATTTTGTCAAGGAGCTGACAGAGCTTGGGAACAAGGTCGAGAACTATACACAGTGTTTTGGCACACAATTTGGTGTTGCTTGCAAAACTTTGCAGTTTCCCTCCTTATTGCGGATACTTGCGATGTGTGCTGGGCAAGGCTGCGTCACGTCATTCTCTCCAATAACAAGCCGCTACCTTGGTTAGACAACCAAGTGTTTGGATCGCTTGAACGCGATCGAGGCTCAACAGTATTGATGCAGTGACGAGGCCAATCGATAAATCTTCTGAAGCCATGAATCTTCTGAAGTTAAATGTGTGTCTAAGGTTGCCGCACCTTCTCACGCTGCAGTTCGACAACAACGAGGCAGCTTGCATACTGTAATTTCCAGCATCGCCGTGTTTGCAGTTTGATCGTCAGCACGTCTTGCAATCAGAAGCACACGTGTCGGACCATGACAACTGCTCCGAGACAGTGGTGGATCGAACATTTGGCAGCAAATTGGTGTTGCCCAAAGTGGCAGCACATTATGAAAAAGAGAGAAGCAGCAGACTTGTTCATCACAACCACTTTGGGTCTCAGAATTGCATTGTATTTTGCATAGTGCGACTTGCAAGGCCAGCAGTTCTGCACAAACGATTCCACTTAGAATTAGCGTGCACATGTTGGATTTTGTCACTGCCTCCGAACCTGCTGATTGCGATACAAACACTATAACCATTGCAAGACCTACCTTTGAACCGATGACTGTATTGTTTTGATTTGATAACAAGGTTTTGCAAATTCCATGGCTCCACATAGCTGGCCCAAAGAAGGCCGGTTGTGGAGACTGCGAACATGCAACCGCCGTCTTGGCAGGTCAGATTCGAGAGATGCGTTGCTGTACTTCGATTCACCTGAAGGATTGCCATGCGCATACGCAGAAGTCTTTGCAGGAGGCAGATGTCGGCGGACCCTGTTGCATTACAAGCGTTTGTGGCCGTTTGGTGTATCCTTGAGCTTTGACGGTTAGTGAGACAGTGCATGAAAGCTTGCGCCTATGCAGGCAGTTCGTTCAAAAACGCAGTTGCGTTACTTTGAACTGGTCGCACCGACATGATGGCTTTCGATGAAAAGTCAGTGATTGGCAAAGAGGAGAGAACGAGCCTGGAGTGTTCTTAATTCCTGGCTCTGCTGCTGGTGAGTTCCATGTCCTCCATTGACCTGAAGGTGCATAAAACTTTACACACATCCTCACCTTGCTCGTTGTGTATTTGACCTCATTGCATGCACTTTTGTCCTTCCACTGCAGCATTGCGGTGAATGCCTCATTTTGCTGCGTGAGAAGGCACTAAATTCCGTGACTTGTTCAAGCTCTAACAAACAACAGGCGGCCATTTGCCGTGCATCCTCAAACATCATTTCAGCATCATGATTTAGAGCCAGGGTTCGGGCGGCTTCGGATTCCTTGCTTGTTTGCAGCCCGGTCCCTTCAGGTTCCGGGCCAATGCATGTGGCTGTTCTTGCGAGCGACTCAGATTAAGTCGGTTGGGTGAGTGAGTTGGAGTTGGAGCAGAAAGACTAGCTCGGTTGGTTGCGGAGTTATCTTGGTCAAGCTTGATCAAGTTCACATGCACGGTTCATATGACGTGAATGAAAACGAGAGAGAGAGAGAGAGAGAGAGAGAGAGATGGCGCTGAAGGCTTCGCTTCTGGCCTCAAGGCACACGCCACCCTCGTAAACACAGCTAACCATGAGCAGTCCACGAGGAGCAGCCCACTCTTGGGGAGTTGCAGTTATGTGATTCCACGTGTCACCCTACGGGGCTTGGCTAGGCATGACATGTATCACATTCAGCGCGTGGTTGGTAAAAGACATGCTGATCAAAATGGAGGTTTGGCTTTTAGGTATGTGAAGCCTTCCTTCTATTTGGGCATTTTCCAGGCTCGCTCCGCTGTAGGCTCCGCAAATCATTGCACAGCATTTGTGCGTTCGGGACAATGATTTGCCCGTGGCTTAGACGCACCTCTTTGTTTGAAGCTCAAACAAATACATCTTTCCAAAGCTCTGCTACACTGATGCTGACAACCAACCTCACCAGGCGAATTCAATTCGATTCCCCACGTGGCGCGACCGATCGCATGCGAATCTGAATCCGGCGAATCCCGCATCGCCACGCTTTGAACAGCTGCGTGGTGGAGGAGCCGACACAGCTGAAGATGCTGTTGACTCCAAGTGCCTCAAATAGCATGTGACTCGTTTCGGATCCTTTTTGGCTTCAAAACGGGAATCAAAAAGAAAACCATCTTGGGGGTGCCTTATTTTGCAACCCCTACTTTAGGCGCAAGGAAAAAAGCAGGAAGAATGAACCTATTCTTAGAGGATAGCTTTTTGCTCGGTGTCTTGAATATTTGCTGACCGCAGATCTTGTTCAACCATTAATTGATCTGCCATGGAGCGTGAGCCCGAGCAAACCGTGTTCAGCATTTGGGGACACCTCAGCTTGTTATCTACAAGGATAAACAGCAACTTTGATTGACGAATCAAACTTTGCTAGACTTGATGGACTATGTTTTCAATAACCTGCAAGCAGATGCCATATGGCTATTTCGGTATACCCTGCAGGGTGCAGTCGGGCGGTCGATTTACCGGGTCGGCTATATTGCATTGACCCCTTGACCTCACCCAACATGATGTTCAGCTCCAGTTTGATTTCCGGAGCAAACACATACCATTGAGACACTTTGCGCTGAAAAGGCTTACCTGCTTCGTTCTCTGATGGCGCATGCGGCTCAGACATCCTGGCGTAGTGTAGCATCTTAGAAGCTTCAGTTGGCTTCAGCCAACTGCAATCACCTGAATGAGACCCATGAATCTGAACGAGATATCACCCCAGGTTTTTGTTTTGTTTTGCCAAAAACGCAAGTTCTTGCGCAGGGCTAGTGTTCGTGGTGGCGTATTCAGAGCTCAGCTGAGAGCACAGCGGTATTATTTTGCAAGCTCAGGAACATCGATTTTTCTGCGGGAATTACATTTGCAGCCGAGCTTTTTGCGTTTCCCTCGGTTCTGAACCCTAAGCCAAAATCGTAAACCTAAAGCTTGAACTTAAATCCCTGAAAACAGAAGGAATGCTAAAACCCCAACCCTTAAACTGAATACAGAAGCCCTCACAGCTGACGTGACAGGACGATTAGGGTGGATCGAATGGATCGGGGGCATTTTTTGAGGTTAACGGTTTAACTTTTTTGTGCTGCCGCAAATATTATGACAAGCTTTTTTTCTTGCTCTGTCTCTCTCTCTCGCCCTCTCTTGCAATGCCGGCTGACAGGACATTTGGGAAAGCTTCTCGGACGGCAAACTTCTTGGCGTAGTTGATTTGACACGCATTTGGTGGCGTTTGATGGCCACTTTTGAATGCTTGCCGCGTGAATCTGCAAGGGAAAGTGGTGCTTGAGAATTGGCTGATTCAGCTTCACATGCTTCACATGCTTCACATTCACATGTCTGCGCCTGTCCTTCACATGCTTCACATGCACATGGAAGGTTGCTTGAAGCTGAGGGAAGCCAGTGCAGGACTTGAATCAGCGCGGGGCTTTTTGACAGTGGAGGTCCGACCAAACCGACTGCGTGGTGAATGCAGCCAGGAATTCGGAGATGTATGGGATCCTCAGAGCATCAGCTGCTTCACAAGCAAACATGATCTGTGCGACTTATTCCGGATTGCTGTGTGACACATTTTTTGTTGAGTCGCCCTTGGTCGCTAGCGTTAAGCCACACAAGAACTGGGGAAGATAAAGCCAAAGCGAACGGTTGGCAATCAGTTCTGTGCGAACAGAGGCTGAACATTCCACGTACATGCTGACATGCAGAAAATTCCTTGCATAGAGTAATTTAGCTAGTAGACTCTTTGAGTGTCTCATGGTTTCCACCGCCGTACTTCCTTACCTTGATTTGTTACCATGATTGGCATGCCTGATTTGAACATTAGTTGCGGCGTACGCGTTCATGCGTGTTTGTGTCAGGGATTTGGGGTTCAACCACATCCTCATGAAGCTCCGCTTTTCACAAGCTGGACCCAACATTTGTGCGAGAGAAGCGCATTGACTTGACAACTTGAGCCCGGGACACAAAAGGCTCGCGACTTCTCTTGACTTCTCTCTGCCTTCAAGCGAAGGACACGCGCGAGCGGCTGGTCGGACTCTGGGAATTGATGAACAGCTCCATGTTGCCAGAGCCAAGCGGCTGGTCGGCCAACTTTTTGCCAGAGCTCTTGGCTCCATGTTGCGCTTGGCTCCATGGAAAAAATCATTTCATGGTGCTGAGGTTAGACGTCTTGCGGAGGGGCAAAGTGCTTTGTCAGAGCGGAGAAAGTGCTGTGCCGACTTTCGCTACTCTTGTTTTTGTCTGACATTTCACTCGTGACAGATGGCCAAATCCCCCAAAAGGACCTTTGTGCCAGGTGAATTCGCTGGAGTGTCTGGCCGAGGCTGACCTGCCGTGGTGCCAGAGGACACACACACACACACCAGCATGAAGCAATTGAAACCATGATTCAGACACAGTCTTGCAGCCATGTGCTTTGCCGTGAACAGCGGCCTGTCCAATCTCACTTCATTGGCTGTTTTCACACGCAGACGCAAGGATTTGCCAGGATAGATTTCACGGTCAACAAGCTGAGTATGTTGCCATCATTGGCAGTGCTGGGTCGCTTGAGGCTGGTGGCTGTTGTTCCATTCAGGTTTTGATCCGGAAATTTGGAAGCTCTCTTGAGAACTTCCTTTGTGCCGCAGCTGCTGCTTGCCAGGTTTGCCTGCTTTGCATCCAACGAGATCAGCTCGCTCGAGGTGAAGGGTTTGTTTGCTTCCAATTCTGTTCAAAAGAGCCAATGCTTCCCAAAGCTCAATCTTAACGACAAGACAACTGTGAGTCTCATGAGTCTCATGAGTCTCGTGAGTCTCAGCTCAGCTCAGGGCTTTGATGGCCACCCCTTGCTGCAAGAGTTGCAGCTGCAGGACAGGGAAGGGGCGAATTGCGAATTGCAACGAATTGATATCCGAGATGGCCACCGAGGCCTCCAACTGAGTTCAGAGACTTCGGAAATGAAATGAAACGAGAGATTGAACCAGCTCACCTGGCTCACCTCGGCAGGAGAACAAGCTCACCTCGCTCAAGGGCTTGGGCCGTCTCGAAAGTCTCAAGCTAAGATAGGGACGAACCTGTCAGCCGAGCCATTGAGACCATGTTGCAAAATGTAACTTTTGCTTTGCAACATTTTTGCACGCGGCTTTGTGATTTCAAGGTCTTCGCACTCTCATTGTCTCCGGCAACCAGCTCACTTCTTTGCAAGGGTTGGACGTGAGCGCCTTTGACCGGGAAGAATGGATTTACTTGCTCGTTGCATGGCACACAGCTGTTGGGTAGGCAATGAGTAAGGGACAGACGCCTGGTTGTCCACTTCAACGAATTGCAAATTTCTGGCTCGGAGTATCAGCGCTTTAGCGGCTGTGCGACAGGCTCCAATGCTCAAGAAGCTGGACGTCAGCTGGGTCCCCGACAAGAGTCAAAGGGGCTTGCTAGACTAACTGGCCTATGTTCAGAGTGGATTTCCGAGGCAAGGATCCAGCATTGACCAGCATCGCTTTGCCTAACCCATTTGTTCCGCGCAACATGAACCTTTTTGTGCGATCCTGACTGCCCTCGCTCGACTGTGGCTAACAAAAAAACTAGCTGGCCTGTGGACCAGCCAACGATCACCGACACTGCACAACAGGTTGTCTCTAGGCGATGGATCGTCAAAGTTTCGTACTTCCACAACCCGGGCTGCTCATTCCGCATGCCGCCTGCAAATCCATTTGCAACATTTCTAGGGTTCAAAATCATAATATCCTTACAATAGACAATGGAGGGAGAGGGGGGGGAGGGGGCAGCAATTCTCGGTTTCTTGCTTTTCCTGCCATGTCTAAGGCCATGATGTGGATTTTCCTGAGGTTCAGACTGCTGACTCCGAGGATGCCCTGGGCACAGAGTCTGTCAAGATGGATGTGGACGACGCTGAGCGCCAATTCCGCCCCAAATAAAGCACAAATCCTCTTCGGAAAAGGCCCTACCACGACCGAGCTGGTTGCCTGGATTCCGAGCGAGTCGGACAAGCTCAGCCTGGGTGGTGAGGCCAAGGGGATGAGCATCATGGGTGGTCCGCTGGCATGGCCTTGGTGAGGGCTCTGTTGCTCCAGCCAGAGGCTGCTTGCCCTCGGGGAGGAACGCGTCCTAACCAGCTGAAGAGGCGCAGGCGACCTGGCAGCGGGCGGTTCTTTGGGCTACGGACCGTCAGTGCTCTGCGGCAACCAGTGCCTCTCAGGCCACTCTCCAGGCTCTAAAAATTTTCAATAATGCGTCCCAAGAACATTGAAGCCGTTTAAGTTGCGGCTCCGCGTCAGTTTCTGTTCGGTTCACAGGGGCAGACAAAATGAGGAGGCTGGCTGAGGAGGGCAGGAACCTTGGCCCAGCCATCGGAGTTGCCTCGCAGGCCCCTCTTTCACATTGTAGTGCTGGCCCACCGTCTGAGGGCTGCCAGGTTTGCAGTGACCCTCTCTCAACCATGACAAACTGCAGGTCTGGTGGCTTGCCTTTGACGTTGCGGCAGTTGGCACCTGTCTTGGAGGACACAAGCCGAGGCGACGTGTTGCAGCCCTGGAGCTGCTGGGTTCTTTGCTGCTCTTCATGTTTGCTGCAGATCGGGTGGACACATGAGGTCGAGGTGCGCCCAGTCCTTCTCCGTCCAGACAAAACGAGGGTACTGATGAAAATGTCAGCGCAAAAACTCGTCTTTTCTTTGTGAAGATTTGTTCCCAGACCGACTCACCCGCTTGGATTCATCTGGCTTTGGCCTGGCCAGAGTGCGTAGGGGGTCATGGATCTTGCTACTTGCTCTTCGCAGGCAGCGTGAGGTGGGGCCCGGCCAGCTTGCCTGTTGTTTAGGTTGCTGCTGCATTCCACACCGAGTCGTGGTACACCTACGAAGAAATCGAAGAGAACTACCCTGCAGTCCGCTGGGGTCGGCAGGAAAACTGACCCTGTTTGTGGCCGGGTTCGTTGCGCTGCCTGCCCTCGGCTCGGGTACAAAAAGAGTATGCCGCACGCTCGACTGGCTGCGCTGAGACTTCTACAACACAAGCCGGATAACCCCACATGTCTAGCCTTAGAAAACGCGGGTCCGCATGAACCGGACGCATGCGCGGCACCCCGCGATATGCGGTAATTGCGAGTGACACATGTCTGGTAGTCGCAGCGCAACTTCTTTTCTTAAGAGCGACTCGTGTTGGGTCTCTCCAGCCGGCAGAAGCGCTGAGAAACCTTGCTGGCTAACATCCTGTCAATGAGCCAAATTAATCTCTGCTTCTTCGTTCAACACTCGGCTTGGACCTGGCACTTGTGAACCTGCTTTGGACACACGCTCGCCGTGCGCCACAAGGGTGTTCAACCGGCTTCTTTGGCCAGTATTCAGTTAAGAGCTGACACGCCGAACAACAGTTTCCTGGCGCTTCGTCTGAACTGAGCCCAACCTCAACTCGAAACGGATGCAGCAATCAGAAAGCGCAAGCCTGTGCATGTGCGATTGCTTTCCCTGCGTGCGCTTCATGCAAACTGATCCCAATCTCAACATCAACCGGCCGCAGCAAACAAAGCATACAGCGAGGCGACTGACAACAGCATCCAGCCCAGTGAGACAGCTGCCAAATGCTGCAGCTGCCGCACGAACATACGCCCAGATGCACAGAATACTGCGCCTGCCGCGCAATGAGCGTCGCCGTCTCCAAAGTGCTGCGCCTGTCACGCAAAACGAGCCCCCGAGCCGCGCGCGCGGCGCAAGTTAGACAGCTGCCAAATGCTGAAGCTGCCACCCCCCAGCTGCGCGCGATCCAGCCCTGCCAAATGCTGTCCCTCCACACGAACACACGCCCAGATGCACAGAATACTGTGGCTGCTTCGCAAGCAAACGAGCCCCCGAGCCGCGCACGCGACAACATCCAGCCTAGTTACAGCAGCAGCACGAGTGAGTGAGTGTGAGTGAGTCAGTGTGAGTGAGTGAGTGTGAGTGAGTGAGTGCGTGGGTGGGTGAGTGAGTGAGTGACTGACTGAGTGACTGAGTGATTGAGTGGGTGAGTGAGTGAGTGAGTGACACTGAGTGAGTTGAGTGAGTGAGTGAGTGAGTGAGTGAGTGAGTGAGTGAGTGAGTGAGTGAGTGAGTGAGTGAGTGAGTGAGTGAGTGAGTGAGTGAGTGAGTGAGTGAGTGAGTGAGTGAGTGAGTGAGTGAGTGAGTGAGTGAGTGAGTGAGTGAGTGAGTGAGTGAGTGAGTGAGTGAGTGAGTGAGTGAGTGAGTGAGTGAGTGAGGAGTGAGTGAGTGAGTGAGTGAGTGAGTGAGTGAGTGAGTGAGTGAGTGAGTGAGTGAGTGAGTGAGTGAGTGAGTGAGTGAGTGAGTGAGTGAGTGAGTGAGTGAGTGAGTGAGTGAGTGAGTGAGTGAGTGAGTGAGTGAGTGAGTGAGTGAGTGAGTGAGTGAGTGAGTGAGTGAGTGAGTGAGTGAGTGAGTGAGTGAGTGGAGTGAGTGAACGGCGGGCGACGGAGGGCGCGGGCGCGCAGCGGTAAAAGTAAGAACCCCGCACAAAGATGCGGGGAACAAGACTACACGCAAGAACATGCGCAAGACACGCCGGCCGAGCCGGCCAACTTCAGGAAAGATTGCGCCCCTTCCCTAGCACTCGGTTGGAAACTGAGTGTAAGAACTTGAGCTTGAAAACTGACAATGCTTGCTTGTCTCTAACGAGTCTCAACCCCGATGCCAATGTGAGGGATGCTCAGGCTGGGTTGGCGCCAGGTAGGTCAGAGGATGGTTGCAGCTCCCAGGTAAGAACCAACTCAGCAACCTGGAGCACCTCGTGGCTGAATGCCAGGAGTTCCACGCGGGCGTGTCCATTGTCCAGAAAGCTTGCGGCCCTTTGAGTAGACTCCCAAAAGAAAAGCCAAGAACACAAGCGTAAGCGTAAGACGTAATATAGCTGCCTGGAGCACGCATGGGCGCTGAGTGTCTCGTAATCAGACATAACATGAAGCCACAATCTGTTTACAAGGGCGCACGTGGTTTGGGCAAACCAAGGAGAAGGCGACCGTCGCAGAGAGAGAGAGAGAGAGAGAGAGAGACGATCAGTCATCTTGCGGAGTTTGAAATCGGTTTGTCAATATGTTTCAATGCAGTTTTACTCTTGGAGAAGACAATCCTGGAACTGAGGCATTGCGGCAGCGCGTGGGGTGTTTGGGCCTGCCTTGCAGGAGCTGGACATCGCCGAAAACCAGCTAAATGCTGAAGATCCGTTTGTGCCCCAGGAATCCTCAGTACGGATTGTTGGGTTGTATGTTGGACAATAATTCTCCGCGGCTAGTTTTGAGCAAACTGACAGAGCGCGCGTGTGCAGAAATAGATTTGGCCCATTGCCTTTGACGTGAATGGTTCGCGCAGCCGCACGAACACAGTTCTGCTTCTTGGAACATTCAACTGATGACGCAGCAGGCAGATTTTTGCGAGGCCACCCTTTTTTTCAGTGTGGGATCCAATGATTGACACCTCCTCTGCAGAGACGTATTCAGCCTTTGCCGGCTGTGATTTAAATGTCTTGCCGAAAGAAGCCGCAGACGTTTCATTGCCTTGCGTGCGCTAGGAAGGCATGGGCAACACGCAGCTTCAACTGGATCGCAGGAAATGTCACGAACGACGTTTTGAGGAACCTGCCAGAGCTGAGACGCCTTAGTGATCTGAAGAAGTTGCCACGCCCCCAGGAGCGCCTGTCGCCTTGCCATTTTAATTGGGCGTTCGAAGGGGTAACGCAGCAAGACATTGTGGGTCGGCGAGGATGTCCTGCGACTTGCAGAAAGTATGAGCCCCGAGACAATGGAAGTATGTTGACCTGTCAGGAAACAAAGCCAAGTGCTCTGAGCGCGTTCTAAGTTACTGGACAGCTAGTGCGTTGCGCCTTTGCCATGCCCGGAGTGCAATCCGTCGTGCCATGGAGGCACTCGCTGAACATCGCTGGCAACGCTGGGGATCTGCGCGTCGAGGCCTGGATGTGTTCTGCGAACCGCGCTTTTCGCCGCGCAGTTGTTTCCCTTTGATCTGGGGAGTTTATTCGAGAAGCTTAAAGGCCGGCTTCTCAACTTTTGTGCTTCCGTGCTTTGTGGCAACTGCCGTGTGACGTGGGAACTCATGAATAAAGGTACTCTGCGCATCAATGCTACTTTCAGACCTTCAGCGCTTGAGCCTCTCCAGGTAGTAGTTGTAGCGCCGCAAGTGCAGATAATTGACGGCGAGCTCCGGGCTTGGCAAGCAAGCTTTGACTGACAAGTTTTCTCACTTGGATTGGGCCACCCGTAGCAACCTTTGCCAACTGCAACACCGGGCGTGTGTTTTCTTGAAAGTGTGTGAGCACTTGAAGACATGCGCTGCCTCGAGCTGCCGCTGAGTTGTCAGTGGTAGCGGGGCCCTCTGTTCTGCGCTCGTCACCATGGATTGTCATGAAGCCCGTGGATGGCCAGAGCCCGCGCGCCGAGTTCCAGCGGTGCGAGCACGATGTGAGCTGGGCGCGAAGACGTGGAGCGCGACTCGTTCGAGGATTGACAGGCGACGCGTGCCATGCGCTGTGGTGGGTGCTCCGCTGGGGCAGCCCACACTTGGAAGCCAGTGTGGCTCGAGCGACGGAGACGGCCATGTATGGGTCACCGCGTGGTTCCAAGCAAAACTGTCAGGGCTATGTCGTCTGCGCAAGGAGGCGTACGGGAAGGTCGTGACATGGGCGCGACACGGACAGAGAATGACCCTACTAAGACCAGCAAGGTCAGGATATTGTGGCCAGTTTCAACCTCGTGGTCTTCTTCGTTGTGGAGCGTTGAAGGCATCTGAGCGTGGTCGCTGCCATCACCTCGTCCTCCTCGTACATCTCCTTGAGATAGCCTTCTTCAAGGAAGATGTAGTCCGCCATCCTACAAGGAAGACGTAGTCCGCCTCATCTTGCCAAGATGAACGCCGAATTCTGCAGACAGGTCGGCAGTGGTGCAACGTGCAATGACCCGGGTGAGGTGGGCTGAAGCTCAGCGTGCGAATTTCGGAGAGTGGCCTTTCAAGAGCAAGTTGATGACGAAGACCAACGGAACAAGACTCCAACCAATTTCTGCGGGTTGGCTGCAACTCCGGAGTGTGGGATCATGCGCTTCCTATTGGAATTGCTGGAGCCAGTGATATTGTGGAAGCTACAGTTGTTGAAAACCCGTCGCTCACCCACAGAAAGCTTCTAAGACAGTTGGGGGAACCCATTGACATAACCAACATGACTTGAAGTTCCAGTGTGTCGACAAAGCCGCCCACCTTGGCAAGACTTCGGCTGGTCATGTCGTCACGGATGTGTTGTACTTTGGAGCCAGGGAGGTTTGTCGCGCCGACAGATGCGACAGACCGCGTGCATCATGAGCCAGATTTTCGAGCCGTCGCAGCGCTGGTGTTCTGGCAGGAGAGGCTTCGCAAGGAGAACCCACGAGCAACGTGCTTCGCTCAATTTTCCTGCGCAAAGCGCGAGCCTCCCTGCCCTTCAGCTTGGGGAGCCTCTTTGCGTTCCTGATGCGCGTCGCGTCGCGCAAGCCGGTTCCAACCGATGCGCAGAAGCACCCCAACCCGAAGCCTGGGTTCCAACGTGGAGATGGTGGATTTGATGACAAAGGGCAGGTGGGATCCTCAAGCACCCCAACGAAACAGTGGCGTGTGGCCAAGGACTTGGAGGAGCCAGGGCATCGTGGCCAGATTGGGGCGCAGGCCGCTGAAGAGATCGCCGGGGCTGTGGGTTTTACACCATCCACACGCGTTGATGAGCGGGCGTCCAAAGAAGGAACTACGTCGGTGTACCGCGACTCAAAGTACTATCAGCAGGAGGAGGGCGAGATGGTGGTGCTGGCAGAGAAGAGGACATCGAGATGGAAGAGAGCCTGAGTCAGGAAGAGGAACAGCAAGCCTGCGCAGATCATGGCGGAAGACACCCGGAAGAACAAGGCGCCCGGGCAGGTTGGCCTTCCTGCGGATGGCCGCGTACGAGATGAGGTGGCGCAGAAAGAAGTCAGATTTCCTCAGTGTGAGGCGAGCCCATTGCGAAAGGCGCCGCCCCGACCAGCGGTGTGGCGGTGTCGAAAACGTATCAGCCTGGCGTTCAAATCGGTCGTCGTCGATGTGACCTACGCGCGAAGATCAGCGGACACGGGCTTAGTGTGGAGCCCCGCGTAGTATGGAGCGCAGTGCGGAGAACCTGGCGGTGGAGCCAGATCATACAGATTGGTCAGTGGCCTCGGGTTCCATCAAGCCTGATGTCCGACGAAGCGACCAACCCGGTGCTTCAAAGTTCACAAGAGCTCGGATGATTTCACGCGGGTGAGGGGTGAGGCAGTGGCGTTCGTCAATGCAAACCTGCTGATCTGGTCTACAAAGAAGGAGGACTGTGGTTGGCGGAGGAGGCCGGCTGACTCGCGTCGTTTGAAGAGACGCAAGAGAGATTGAAGGGGGGCCCTCAAGCTGGATACCGTGACGTCGCAAGGGATGTTGTGCTGGACGGGGAGGCGAAGAAGTAGAAGGTGATAAGCATGATCAAGCACCGGACTACGAGGGCTTCCGCGACATCGTGTAGACGAGGGGCCTAGAGGCGGAGGGAGACAATGAGCCGCAAGTGCAAGGCAGAACCAGAATGTGGATGGGGTGTGGGCCCAGTGCGGTCCAACGCAGAAGAACGGTGGGTTCCTGACACGGTCGGAGTCCGAGGAGATGAAGACGGAGCCCAAGAACGAGGGCTACTAGATCTTTGGCCCCGACCAAGAAGTTGATGCAGCAGCGCCGCGTGAAGGAAGGGAAGTCCAGGTTCAAGACGGCCTGGAGAGCGAAGCTTGGTGAAGAATTTGCGCAAGGCGTCGCTGAGTTCGAAGTGGACATGGGCCAGTTGCAGAATGAGGTCATGGTTGCTGGAACTCGGAAGCAAGGAGATTGAGAGATCTTCGGGCATGAGATCCGGGATGAGGGCGACAAAGAAGAGTGGCCCAAGGCGCAAAGGCCCAGGCGCCTTGGAGTTGGAAAGCTTCAGCCCGACAGTCTCCGCATCGAGTTTGCAGGTGGCGACGCCGCGAACCACGGCTTGAAAGGGAAAGTCGGTGATCTTAAGAGCGCGTTCGCCCAGTCATTGCCGCTGCTGCGGAAGAAAGGGAAGGTATATTGCGCGGCACGGAGGTGGACATCATGGCCTACAAAAGGTCAATTGATCGAGGTTGTCATCGGGCACTGAAGAAGTAGCTGGTCAAGGAACTCGGCCACAGGCCAGCAAGAATGGACCCCTGTCTGTTCCTGATGCATGGCAGCAGGCGCGGCGCAGACGCCTCAGACACGCAGGCAAGGTTGTGCAGCTTCAGGAGCGCTTCGAATGTGGCAGGCTAAGGGCATCAATGAACAGCGCGTTGGCTTCAGTGGCCGTCGGACACGCACGGTTGATTGAGGGCGTGCTGAGAGGATCATGGAGGACGAGACAAAGGAGCGCAAGAAGCAGGCGGGTGCGAAGCTGAATGCCGAGGAGCTTGGGCAAGCTGGCGGAAGAAACGCGAGCAGCAACCAGCGCGCTGCTGTGGAAGCAAAGCTTCCTTGCGTGGTGGGATGAACGTTGGGAGGAGGCGGCGTGCCAGGTGATCGCAGTTTGGGAGCCGGAGGTGCGGAAGGACGGCTATGTGGCTTTGGCGAAGGATGAGACCCAGCAGGAGTTGCAGGCAGCTCTTGCAGTTGCAGATGCCAAGGAATGATGTCATGGGCAGTTTGGAACCAGGCGGAAGTCAGTGTGCTCGACCGAAGAGCGCAAGAACGCGTTCAAGAGCGAGAGAGTTTTTAGGCGTACTCGCATGTCAGGACATGCGCTGCCCTAGCACATAGGAGCCTAGGCGCGAGGGTGACGGAGCCCCGCAGTCCTGTAGGAAACGGCCTGAGCTGCCACCGAGTTGTCAGGGTACAGCGCGATGCTTTGGGGTCCTATTTTGACACATCGTTTGCGAAGCAAGCTCCAGTTGCAACGGCTTTAACGTGCTGAGGCTGGTGACAGAAGAAGATCGGGAAGCGGCCGCGGCAAAGGCGGGGCAGACACCCGGCGAGTTGTTCAAGGAAGTCTGCAAGTTCTCAAGCCGGAGCAACCTTGACTCTTTTTCATTTGCTTTGTCTCATCCGCCATTGTAGAGGTGGACGGGTTTTGTAGCCACTAGCCACTGTTAGACTTGCTGTTGGCATGAAAATCTTATCGGCAACGTAAATAACGACAGTCAGTCAGACAGCTACAAGTCACGGGTTTGCAGGATGTTCCCTAGAAAAAGTGCCTGGCCCAAAAGTCAACCATTTTGTTACTGACATTCAGGCTCAACCACTGAAAAACAATTGTTCACATTGGTTCGACTGGGAGGGTGTCCAAAATGTTGAGAACGCGACCCAGCTCCACTGCGTACTGCGTACAGGAGGAAGAGCTTTCAGAAGCGGTGAAGGCTAAGGTCGATGCCTCAGGGGAGGGGGAGGCTACAGGTCGAGGTAGGGCCAAACATATAGGGCCACGCAGGTGACGGACAGCGTAGAGTAGCTTTGTCCTGCTTTCCAGACAGCACCTTTTTTGAATTTTGGAAAGCTGGCACACTTCGTCGCCCAATTTAAACGAGCCAGTTTTAGGGACATGAATTTGACACATGTCAGGTAAGTATTTCAAGAGAACAAATTTGAGGTTTACACAAGTCTGATGGACCGATGGTACCCGTCGGACTGGAGTGTGACTTAGGCAGAGGAGGACGCCCGGCTGGCTGCAGAGGCTGAGGCTGCTGCTGCAGAAGCTGCTGCAGAGGCCCGAAGCGCTGAGGACATTTGAGACGCATGTAGGTGTTCATGCTGGCGCAGGGCGTCTGTAGGTTTGACAGCGCCCCGACTGGCTGGTTGCCAGGAAAATGCTGAAGCAGATGCCGAGGCATCGAGCTAGCGACCTGCCCACATAGATGTCACCACATGTCCAACTGAGTAGAGAATTTTAGAATTAATCAAGATGGTGATCTTTGCTCCGGTCTCACTTGCTGGCCGCCGGGAAGAATCCTGTAAGGCAAAGCCTTGGCGCAGAAAGAATCCGTGACAGCCGGAATTCACCCGGGAGAAAGGGAGCTTGCGGTGACACAAACATAAATGCAATGTCACTTGCAGCCTGTTCTCATGTCGTGGCCTTGTGTCTCAAAGTTGGGCGAGTGAAGTCCCCGCACAGGCACGAGAGCCGTTTGGTGAAACCAGAACAAGGACCCATTACCCAGACTCGAGGTGGCAATCTACGATTGTCCTGGCGCCCCGTCTGCAGCACTGCCAAGACACATGCAAGACAGACACAAATTTGCCACATCCGAGGTGAGGCCGTTTGGTCGGAGAAACCATGAGGCTTGTCAGGCGCCCCATGCGAAACTTACACAGCTCTTGGAAGAGTGGTGAGTGAAGAGCAGGTTCTTGATGAAGCTGAGCAATGAGAGCGTTGTCGTCGAGCTGAAGAACAGCACAGTGGTGCAGGCTGAGTTTCTTTGTCGCGTGGTAAGCAAATGCCACTTCCAAGTGAACCAGACAAAGTGCTTGAAATGCAGGGGACCATCACAGGCCAGGCTCTTGGCTCTTGAGCAGAACTTGACCAGCAGCTATCAGCCCTGACTTTCGAGGTGTCGACATGTCAATGAATGTGCACATGAAGAACATCAAGTTCACGGTCAAGGGAAAACCCCCAGTGTCCATGGACCATCTGACAATCAGGGGCAACAATGTGCGGCAGCTTGTCCTGGCGTAACAAAAGACTGCGATATCATCTGGAACGCAGTTGCAGTTCTTGCCTCAGGTATGTCATTCTTCCAGATAGCATTCCTTTGGACACCTTGCTTGTGGATGATGCCAAGCGCTTGCCGAAGGCAGGCCGTGGGCGATTCAGAAGACCAATCGCTTGTGCAATGTTCTGGCAGAAAATGCCACAAGCAAACCAGCAACATCAATATGACTTTGCTCAAGAGTCCAGAAATGCCGCTTGAACGCAGGTCAAGTCACTAGCTGGTCGTGGTCGCGGGAGGGGTCGTGGCCGTGGTGCCAAGAAGAAGTGAGCTGCCGTGATCAGCGCCGTTTTGATCCGTCTGTGCCAGCCGTCTCAGCTCGCCAATGGAAGGGCGCTGATGAGACGGCCAGGATAGGCAAAGACTGGTCTGCTTATGGCCCAGTGGCGCCTGCGAATACGTGAGGTTTGGTGACTCAGATGCTAACTGAAAAAATCCAGCCAACCAACAAGACAGTCAGCGAGCCAGCAAGCCAGCGAGCCAGCCCAGTCCAGCCCAGTCCAGCCCAGTCCAGCAACCAAGCCCGGCTGGGTTTCTTCCCATTCCGACAGCAAAACAGCAGTCCCAACAACCAGCTTGTGTGCCTGTCTGCCTGTCTGCCTGTCTGCCTGTCTGCCTGTCTGCCTTGCCTCAGCCTTGCTGCCTATTACTCCACACCTGTAAGCTTTACTGCCCTTCCACGCCTCTAAGCAGCAGACTGAGTCCAGACTGTTGATGCCCAGAAACTCTGAGCCAAACCATGCAGCTAGAGATGGGAGACTGGCTCAACAGAGTACGCATGCCTAGGAAGTCATGCCAACTTATCTTGCTGGTCAGGAAAAGTGCATCGACCGGCCTTATGTGTGGACATGGGACGCTCACACGCTTACACAAATTGATGAGCTCAGCTGCAAATACTTACTGTTGCTGATTGCGCCAAGTCTGATCTTTCACTGTGGCTTCTCAGCTTTCGCACGCCCGCAACCTGAGATCGCCGTGCTCCTACTAATGGCTACTGCAACTCCCAGCACATCATCTTCTCAGCCAAGCTTGAGTCTACAACAAGTGCAAGATTTATTTTAGGTTCCAGGCAGCGCAAGTTTATCGCACTGTTTCTTTGTCCTCTATGAAGAACTGCTCTTTTCAATGCGTCTGCACCAATCCTTGAAAGCAGTGGTCCTAGCGCTTTGTGGCGGACTTGTGCAGGGCTAAGTTGCCAGACCTTTGGCGGGTCATGAAGCGCATGCATACTGGTGGGGGGCGTATGGAGCAGCATTGACTGTTTATGTGTCTCAGGCAGCGCTTCCGGAAGGCCGGGTCGAAGTCGGCATGGATGAAACTTCCTCTTGCCCAAAATTGTGGACGCATGGGCATGGGAGTGTCCATCAAGATGCTTGATACTCCCAGATCCTTGACATTGTATTCACCAGCATCTTTTTTCTTTGTCAGGCTCCAAGGCGCGAGTTGTCTCGATTGTGAAAAGAGCTGCAAGTGGTCCGATCGATGGTTTGTTGGTTGGACTCTGACACCGATGCATTCTGGCTTTGTCTCAGCCAGGGATGTCGCAGATCCACATGCAACACAGATTCCAACTGACCAGATGGTAGAACTTTCTTCCTGCAAAAGGTGATGTTTCTCGAACCAGCCGGACTGCTTTCCAAGCAAGCACAAGCTAGTTCAAGCGGCGCAAAATCATTGGTGTCAATGGAACGCATGTCGCTGGCGGGTTGACAATATGTTTTGCCCTGCTGTCCCGGTGGCGTTGCTGTCCTCGAGTGCGAGACGAGCTTCCTTGCAGGAGCTTGCAAGTATCACTAAAGGGCGCTTGCTTGCCCACCGATTTCCTCAAACCACGCAAGGGATGGACTGCAGGATGCATTGCTTTTGCTGGACGCTTGAATATTGTCGCACAATGGACGATTCGCATGGCAACTTCGTCTCGAATGTCTCGACCCGAGTCGCGAGTTGCGACTCGTAGGCCCTGCGCGCCCTGCGCTCCCTGCGCTTTCTGCCGCTGGATGGCTCCCGAGCTTCCCTGGCGGCAGCCAAGAGTGGCCTTCATGGTGCCCGCCAGGCACGTCGCGCTCGGCGCGCGCCCGCAAGGCTCGAAGGCGTTCTCCAGCGTATTTCGTCGTGCGCGCTTCACGTTACACCTGGCCTGAGCGGCTGCGTGAAACGAGAGGATTGACTGAGCAGGGTTGGTCCCAGGCTTGAATTGAGTTGAATGGAGTGATGGCGCCCTAGGTGATGCTGGAAACTTGCGAAGAACGACTTGCACTCAGCAAGCAGCTTTCGCAGAAGCTGGAGGCTTGGTTCATGCAAAAGCCTTTCAAGCTCTAGGTGGACACTTGCTCAAGCTTTCAACATAAATGAAAACAACAGCCAAGCACGAGGATGCGAAGACAGACGGGGATGATCCTGAAGCGAATCTTGGCGGCAGCTCACTTGCTCCAGCCATGCTCTGCAGCAGCCGTTTGATCTTTGCGGGAAACAAGCTCAGCAGCCGATGGGGGCGTTTTGCATTTTGACATGTTTCAGTCAATCGGGCGTCGGGGGGGGAGGGCAAAGAGTTTGCTCCTGTGAGCGTCAGGCTTTCCCACACGGATGCTATTGCTTTCGTCCACGGTGGTCTGCGCAGTCTGGACATGCGCGCGCTGGCAGTCTTGGCAGAGGAGGCACGTAGCTTGTGTAAAATGGAGTTCCTTCACCGATATGATACAACTCTCCAAGAAAAGGGTTCTGTGTGCTAGACCGCTGTCCATGCACCAGTCTCTTGTCTCAGCTCTTGCATACTATTCATCATGCCCATTGAATATTCACCAGACGTTGGGGTAGCGAAGGAAGGGAGAGTGATAGAGCTCTAGCGATTGGCTGATATTCATTTCTGAGTGGCTGGACTTGCTCAAAGCAGCCGTTGCAGCGTGTGAATTACACGCTGGACGCCTCCGCGAGCAATACGCCTATCAACGATAATTTTTCTAAGCAGCTAGTTTCCTCGAGCTGGTTGATTGGAAAGAAGGAGGGCAACATGAAGATGAGAGAGAGGTGTTAAAATTGGAAGACACATCACTCTGTGACAGGCCGGGGCACAGGTCTATTGCATCGACAGGCCTGGTCTGAATGGTCTCCTTGGTTGGCGCAAGATTTGAGGGCTGGTGCCTAAACTGGACGACGGGTGGCCCGGAAGCAAAGAAACATGTTGATTAAACTCTGCCACATCCCCCGCCTGATGAGCAACAAAACGTACACGCGTCAATGTCCCTGCTCAAGCGTAGCTTGCGCAAGTTCTGCGGAGTAAGGTTAGCATCGTGCTTCAAGTCTCTCCTGTCAGCTTCTCTTGCGCACAGTGCTGTGAATTGATGCTGCGCGTGAGGCTGCGTGTGAGGCTGCGCGTTATCCGTATGACTCAGCGCGTGCTCTTGCCCATATCTGCGCGCAGTTTGCTTGCGCAAGAAGGCTGGCGGTTTTAGCTGCGGAAGAGGACTGCGCTTGATATTTGCGCGCGTGCAACCCGTGGTTTTTGAGCCTTGACAATGCGGAAGTGTAGTTTGTGTGCCTCTTTTGAAGTTGCAATTCTCGAGGTGGAGATGCAAAGATAGCGCTTCTGGATCATCACTTCTGCGCTTGAAAGTTGCGACTATCGAGCTGCGTGGTTTGCGCACTACCTTTGCTTAAGAGCTACTTTCGCACTGAAAAGTTGCGATCTCGCAGCTGGAGCAGGAATGGTCTTCGCACGTTCTTATGTACTTCAAACGTACAAATTTGCAGCCGGCTGCGGGAGCCCTCTTCGCGCGCTACTTTTGTACTTAAAAGTTGAGATTTTCGAGCCAGAGCTGCCGCAGACTAGGCGGGAATCGAACTTGCAACCGTGCGATTGCGAAAGCAGGCGCGCGCTCTGCGAGACAACTTGCAAACACAATGTCGCAAGCAAAGAAAGCAAGAAACACCGGGCTTTGCGTACTACTTTTGTGGATAAACTTTACTGTTCTTGGCGGTTCCTTTATTGCTTGATGCTGTTCATCTTCAGCAGGGGTCGCGCAAAACAAAGTTTTTTGCTAGCGTGCCAAGGGTTGTGAAGTAAAAGTTGCAAGGTTGCGGCTTGAGCTGCGGGAAGTCTCTTCGCCTCTTCGCACTACGTTTGTATTCAAAAGCGATTCTGCAGACAGAACAAGCACAGAACATGCTTAAGTTGCGACTCTCAAGCCGGGGCCACGGGAATGCGCTTCGTGTGTTCGGACTTGAAAGTAACGATTCAGCCGGAGCGGCGAAATGCTCTTTGCGAGCGATTGAAAAGTCGGCCGGAAAAGTTAGCAGGGGAATTAGCGCTGAAAGTTGCACCGACGGAGAAGTTGGCAAGTGAGGTTTGCAGCCGTTTTTTAGAAGAATCCTTCGCGCGCACATATGGGCCACGGTCAATGACCCCTTTACATAGGCTCATGGTATTTTTGAGGTATTCCTTTTGTGGGCTTTGTATTCCAAGGTCCAGCCAATTGAAACCTGACTAAGCCCACCCTGAGACTCGGAGGTTTGATTTGGAAAGCAGCTCTAAAAGAGCCAAACTGGACACACACCAGCCGCAGGGGAAACGTACCCGGAAAACGTGACACACGTTATGCAGGGTTGGTAGAGGATGTTCATCAACTTCCTGGACAACCATCATAACGATTTCTACTAATGGAACCAGGAGCATGGCTCACAAAAGGAGTTTGACTTTCAATAAGTTGTTGCTTGTTTGTAGGGACGTTTGTCACAGTCGCGGTTGTACAGGAGGTTTGGACCGACCGGAAACAACGCAGCGCGCTAGAGCGATATCTTCTGCTGTGCTTACGCAAGCAGCCCGCTGCCGAAGAATTCGTTGATGTTGACCTGCAGAACACGGGGGGGATACCTTGTAATTGTTAGCGGGCAGGTTCCTTGTCGCGCATGCAAGCCCGCCTGACTTGCTTGGCTTGGGTGTTCCAAGCTTCTCACAAATACTCGGAACAACTAGTCCCTGAAAACACCCTGCAGCATATTCATATGAGCTCTAGTTGCCTCTGGCTTCGCAACCATGCAACAGCACCGGCTTTTAGATTGAACATGAATCAAACTTGTTGTCATGGATCCCGGCGGAAGGGCTTTAAGGTTATCCACTCTCGACTCGAGTTAAGAATCAGACACGACACTATGCGCATTTTGTAGGTCCAGAGGTGAAAGCGCTGGCAATTGTGACGTTCGGCCACGTGAGGAAACGCATTTACTCATGGGCAGCAACAGCTCAGTCCTGCAGGCACTAGTTGGAACAAAACAAAGCCAATGATAAGGATGACATGCTGGTGCCGGAGTTGATCACGCATGTTGCAGGCCATACAGGGAGACACAGAACCGCGTGGCTAAGAGACTGCTGCTACATCCCAGAGACTCTTGGCAAGTGTCGCGTTTGTTGTTACAACTATTGCAACTATCTACCAGGCTTCAGTGCTTCCGTTGTTTTGGCTTTGTTTGTTTTTGTCAGATGTTATGCAAATGTCAATAGACGATTTTTCGGAGGATTGTCAGGCATCGGCTTGTAAGTGGTCTTCCTTGCCAGGGCTTGCCAGGTGGATCAAACCCAACTCTTGCCCAGGCCGTCTTAGACAATCCAAGTTGTGCAGGGTTTCAACTGGTCAGCTCTTGGGAACTGGACTTCGTGTTGCGTTGCCAACCTGGCAAGTGCAGTCCTTGCCTTCGCCTTTCAAGCGGCAAGGAATGCAGCGCTTAGACTGGGCCTTCATTTTTGGGCTTTTTGAAGTTCCGAGGAGCTGCTGGCTTTCGCACGCTATGCTGCTGCAGCGCTGGCTTCAAGTGCCCGGGGTGCTGGGGCCTCACAGCCACACACCTTGCGCTCACTTGGCAATTTTTCACGCAAATTATGAGTTCAATGCTGTCTGCAGCCAAAAGTTTGGGCGCCCACGGCCCCTGCGCGTGCGCGCAGACCTTGCCTGGTCAACTTTGGAGCACGGAAATGCATATTTTGTGGGCTGTACACTTTGCGCCGCTTCCCAGTTGACGAACGAGGGCCGTGCTGCAGATGCTGCGGGTGCAGTCCATGTTCCTCAGCAGGCGCACGTTTCAAGGATTTTGCATGGCGGATTCCAGAAAGCTTTCTTTTGATTTGAAATAGAAAGTTCTGCAGCATGGCTTTTTGCTCACTGGCCGAATTTTCCGAGACGATATTTGGCATCGCCTCATCGCGTGGCTACGATTGCGTGTTGAATTAAATAACTGATCTCTGGGCGCTTTTCCTGATTGAGAATATGCTGATGATGTTGTCAATTTTTCTTGCGCTATGTTTAGTGAAGAACATTAAGCGCGAAAGAGACCTTGAGTGCCTGTGTACATTGAAAGCCCCAACTTTCCCGTTTCCAAATTGCCGCCGAAACGCGCTAGTGCCGCCTGCGCAAAGTTGTGAAGCCATGAAAGAGGTGTTTGACCACCTACGGCACCAGTAGCCGTCGCTGAATGCGTGCTGCGTGTGCCAACAAATTTTTGTTCGAGTTGGCGGGCGTTGCTGGAAGGCAACTGTTGTGTAATTGTAAACGCTTCGCGTTGCCCGCCTCAGCCAGTCCAGTTTGGCCGGCTCTGAGGTATACACCCCGCTTGAGTTCGCCTTGAAGTCTTGTGTTTGCGCTGGCTTCCCACGTAGTGCATGTCTGCGTGTTTGACAGACACACAGACACAGACACAGACACAATCACATACACACACACACCAACACACACCAACGCAACCCAACCCAACCCAACACACAGCACGCAAGACACAACACGCAACACGCAACACACAACACGCAACACACAACGCACAACACACACAACACACAACACACAACACACAACACCCAACGCACAACGCACAACGCGCAGCGCACAACGCGCAGCGCACAACGCGCAGCGCGCAATGCGCAATGCGCAACGCACAACGCACAACACACAACACACACTGCGAACAACGCACAACGCACAATGCGCAACACGCAACGCGCAACGCGCAACGCACAACACAGAACACACAACACACAACACCCAACGCACAACGCGCAGCGCGCAACACACAACACACAGCGCGCACAGCACACACACACACAACGCAAACACACACACACACCACATTACACACACAACACACAACACACAACGCACACAACACACACACACACAACACACAAAACACACAAAACACACATGCAACACACACACACACACACGCAACGCACACACGCAACACACACAACACACAACACACACAAGAACACACACACACACACCACACACAACACAACACAACACACACCACACACACCACACACACAACACACGCGCAACACGCGCAACACACACACAACACACACACACAACACACACACAACACACACAAACACACAACACGCACCACGCACCACACGCCACACCACACACCACACCACACACCACACACCGCACGACGCGCGACGCACTGCGCGACGCACGACGCACGGCGCACGGCGCACGACGCACGACGCACAACGCGCGGCGCGCGACGCACCACACACGACGCACGACGCACGACGCGCGACACACGCTGCACGATGCGCGACGAACGACGCACGACGCGCATCACACGACGCACGACGCACGACGCACGACGCGCGACGCGCGACACACAACACACGACGCTGGACGCACGACGCACGACGCACGACGCACGACGCACGACGCACGACGCACGACGCACAACCCGCGACGCAAGACGCACGACGCACGACGGACGACGCGCGACACACGACGCACGACGCATGACACACGACGCGCGACACGCGACCCACAACGCACAACGCGCGACAAGCAACGCACGACAAACAACACACGACGCACGACGCGCGAGACACAAGACACGAGACACGACGCACGACGAACGACGCACGACGCATGACCCACAACCCACGATCCACAACCCACGACCCACCCACGACACATACGACACACACAACGCACGCGACACATGCGACACACGCGACGCATGCGACACACGCGACGCACGTGACACACGCGACACACGCGACACACGCGATACACGCGACGCACGCCGCGCACGCGACTCACGCGACGCACGCGACGCACGCGACGCGCGCGACGCGCGCGACGCGCGCGACGCCTGCGACGCACGCAACGCACGCGGCGCACGCAGCGCGCGTGATGCCCGCGACGCCCGCGAAGCCCGCGACGCCCGCGACGCGCGCGACGCGCGCGACGCACGCGACGCACGCGACGCACGCGACGCACGCGACGCACGCGACGCGCGCGACGCACGCGCGACACACTCGCGACACACGTGCGACGCTCGCGACACGCGACACACGCGCGAGACACGCGCTCGACACACACGCTCGACACACACGCTCGACACACACGCTCGACACACACGCTGGACACACACGCGCGAGACACACGCGCGACACACATGCGACACACAGGACACACAGGAGACACACAACACACACGACACACACGACACACACGACACACACACACACGACACACACGACACACACGACACACACACACACACACGACACACACGACACACCACACACGACACACACGACACAGTCGACACACACGACACACACACACGACACACGCGACACACACACGACACACACACATGACACACACACACACACGACACACACACACACACACAACACTCGACGCACGACACACACACACAACACTCGACGCACGACACACACACACACACGACACAGATGACACACACCACGACACACACCATGCCACACACACCATGACACACACCATGACACACACCATGACACACGCACACACAGCGTGACACACACCATGACACACACCATGACACACACCATGACACGCACCATGGCACACACCCACACACACCGTGACACACACACCACGACACATACGACACACACACACACACGACCCACACGACCCACGCGACCCACAGGACCCACACGACCCGCACGAACCGCACGACCCGCGCGACGCACACGACGCGCGCGACGCGCGCGACGCACGCGACGCGCACGACGCACGCGATGCACGCGACGGACACAACGCACACGACGCACGCCACGCGCGCGACGCACACGACACACGCGAAACACGCAACACGCAACTCGCAACTCGATGCCCGCAACACGCAACTCGCGCACGCAACGAGCACAAAACACACAAACACACACAAAGCACAAACACACAAAACACACAACACACACAAAACACACAAAAACACGCACAAAACACACACACAGACACACGCACAAAACACACACAAAGCACACACACACAACACACACACAAAACACACAAAAACACGCACAAAACACACACACACACAGACACACGCACAAAACACACAAAACACACACACACCTACACACAAAACACACACAAAACGCACGCGCGCACAAAACACACAAAACACACATACACAACACACAGCACACAACACACAACACACAACACACACAACACGCAACACGCAACACACAACACACAACACGCAACACAACACGCAACATAAAACGCACAACACACAACACACAACACGCAACACACAACACACAACACGCAACACACAACACGCAACACACAACGCAACACGCAACACGTAACACGCAACACGCAACAGGCAACACGGCACACGCAACACACAACACACAACACACAACACACAACACACAACACGCAACACGCAACACGCAACACACACCAACACACACCAACACACACCAACGCACACCAACACACACCAACACACACACCAACACACATCAACACACACCAACACACACCGACACACACCAACGCGCACCAGCGCACACCAACACACACCAACGCACACCAACGCACAAACCCACACAAACACACACGCGCAACCACACAAACACACTCGAACACACACACAAACACACACAAACACACACAAACACACAAACACACATAAACACACACACAAACACACACAAACACACACAAACACACAAACACACACGCACACCCACACACCCACACACACACACACCCACACCCACACCCACACGCGCACGCACACGCGCACGCGCACGCGCACGCACACGCACACGCACTCGCGCACGCGCACGCGCACGCGCACGCACGCACGTACGCACACACGCACGCACGCACGCACGCACACGTACACGCACACGCGCACGCAAGCGCAAACGCGCACGCGCACTCTCACGCACACGCACAAGCGCACGCACACGCACACACACACACACATACACCACTCACCCACGCACGCACGCACGCACGCACACGCGCACGCACGCACGCACGCACGCACGCACGCACACACGCACACCAAACACAACACACAACACACAACACACAACACACAACACACAACACAACACACAGCACACAACACACAACACGCAACACACACACAACACAACACACAACACACAACACACAACACACGACACACGACGCACGACACACGACGCACGACATGCGACACACGACACACGACGCACGACACACGACGCACGACGCACGAGGCACGACGCACGAGACACGTTACACGACGCACGTTACACGACACACAACACACGAGACACAACACACGACGCGCGATGCACGACGCGCGACACACGACACAGGACACAGGACGCACGACGCATGACGCACAACGCACGACGCAGGACGCACGACGCACGACACGCAACACCAACACACTCACACACTCACGCACTCACACACTCACACACACACACTCACACTCAGACACACACACTCACACACGCACTCACACACTCACTCACACACTCACTCACAGACACACGCACAGACAGACAGACACACACACAGACACACACACTGACACACACACACAGACAGACAGACACACAAACAGACACACACACACAGACACACACACAGACACACACAGACACACACAGACACAGACACAGACACAGACGCAGACACAGACACAGACACAGACACAGACAAGCACAAACACAAACACAAACACAGCACAAACACAAACACAAACACAAACACAAACACAGACACAGACACAAACACAAACAAACACACAAACAAACAAACAAACGCACAAACAAACACACAAACAAACACACAAACAAACACACAAACAAACACACAAACAAACACACAAACAAACACACAAACAAACACACAAACAAACACACAAACAACACACACAACACGCAAACACACAAACACACAAACACACAAACACACAAACACACAAACACACAAACACGCGAGCACACACACAAACACAAAAACACACACAAAAACACAAAAACACACAAACACAAAAACACACAAACGCACAAAACACACAAAACACCAAAACACACACACAAACACACACAACGCACAAAACACACAAAACACACAAAACACACAAAACGCACAAAACGCACAAAACGCACAAAACACAAAACACACAAAACACACAAAACACACAAAACACACAACACACACAAAACACAAAACACACAAAACACAAAACACACAAAACACACACACACACACACACACACGCACGCGCGCGCGCACGCACACACTGGGGCGCCAGATCGTTCCACGCTTCCAGTGATTGAAGAAGCTGATAAAGTTACACGTTCGTGGATCCTTTCAGGCAGTACTTCTTGAGGGTTTTCTTGAATCCTTCTGCTGCGTCTCTGAGCTGTGCGTTGTCGAGTAGCTCGCGACACACAAGTGCGTCGCCTGTGAGTCTGCTCGTCAAACAAAGGCCCCCAACGTTCTGGCTCCGCTGTTGTGACTGAGGCCCAGTCACTGAGAGTCGAAGCCGCTCTTCCATCGTGCAATGGCGGCAACTTGGCGGTCGCCCATAGAATCAGGGTTTCCTTTGCGGGGGTGCGTGTGGGTGTGTGGGTGCGGGTGTGGGTGTGGGTGTGTGGGTGTGGGGGGGTTGGCTCCAGGCTCCTTGTCGTGCGCTCACGCATAGTGCTTGCTCTCGCGCCAGAGTGTACGGTATATGTGGGTCTTGCAGACTTATTAGACATCAGGTTCCTATCCTGAAACAGATGCAGGCTATCAAGGATGGTATCTTCTGCCTCATGGATTACTTGACCTCGTGCGTTGTGGAGGTGGTTTTGCCAAGGGTGCATGGAAGCCTGCGCAGCGCGCCCCGCCCACCACACGCGCGGCAAACGGCCACCGTCGTCAGCGCAAACGACCAAGCGGCGCATGCCATAAACCACGCCAGCCACACCCCTGAATGTCCTGACCGGAGTTTTGCAGGCGCAAGTCACTGAGTCTTGTCCTGCAGCGGTCACCGAGATCCTTGGAACTGACATTTGGCCGCAGCTGCTCATGCCAACTCACAACTCAATGGAGAATGGTGAAGCGGCTTGTTCGGACGCCTAATTGTACCGATTGTCTTCAGAACTTCCACCATTGTGCATTTGTACTGCCCGTCTCTGTTTTTGCGCCCAAGGAGCGTGAGCAGCACATGGCAAGGGAGGCTCTGAGGCTCCACGTCCCTGGCGCGGAGGCGGTGCTGATTTGCAACAAGTGCAGGCGGGGGGGGCGGACGTTTTGAAAGGATATGCCATTTCAATCAGTGGAGGCGGGGATGGGGGCAGATAGTTTTTGTTCAGAACTTAGTTTTGGCTATCCTGTTCCCTCCGCTCTTCGCTCTGCTCGTTTCGCAGCTCGTCTTCCCAAGTGTTCGCTTCTCTCTTTTCTGATTGCTCCTTTTCCCGCCCTTCCCCCTGCTCTTAAAATTTGCCGTTGTTTGCCAATATTCTTGTCTCGTTGTTAAATTCCTTCCCTGTCAATCCCTGTGAGCCGCTGTGAGTGAGCCGAAGCAGCGTGTCAACCATGTGTGGGTGTGGGCTCCCAGTGTGAAGGCCAAGCCATTGGCTGCCTGGATAGACTTGGCCAGACTTTAGTGAGTTAAAGGTTTCCCTGTAAAGGGTTCATAGCGACCCAGGTTTATGACACACGCAGATACATGAAACTGCCCCACAAAAGAACCAACTTGCAAGTGGGAACAATGTGCGAGCTGGAGCTGCGGAAGTGTGTGCTACACGTTCGCGTAGTAAACTCCGAGCTGGAGCTGCAGAAGTGTGCTTCGCGTACACGTGCCACAAAATTGCGATTTCCGAGCTGGAGCTGCGGAAGTGGACAGACTTGTGGTACAGAGTGAAACACCTGCAAAACGATCAGAATGAAAACGCGATCACGGTGTGGAGGGACAGCTCATTGAGCACGGGGTTGATGTGTAGACAGCCGCAATCCAGGCTCATTCTCCAGCTTTTGGGTTGCTACGAAGCCGTCCTGAGTGGAAGTGACCGTGTCATACTGCGGGCGCAAGGAAAAGTAGAGGGGTTTCCAAAAAGGCTCAGATGGGGATACAGGTTTTTCAAGCCAATAGCCACAGACTTTCCTTTTTTCGCCGCTGGTGGCCGAGCCTTGTTGAAATCATGGAATCAAGAGATGACAGGAAGACAGCTTATCATGCAGAGCTTTGATTTGTGATCCATGGCGATCTGTGATGTCACTCGTCACCTTGGCACACCGAGCGTGAGCGCTTAGCATGGTCTGGCGAGCAATCGTTGAGGCTGCCTGCGATTCAAAAGTTGCTGGAGAAGGTGGGCCGATATGGAGCTTGCTAGAAATGGCAGCATGAAAGCAAAGCTTACGCTTCGGGGGAGGCGCGGCGTTTCACATGCACCGTGCTGCGTGCAAGACGGAGGACTGCGGAACAATCCACCGCGCACAAGGACACACACACACAACACGCAGCATCATGCGCCATGCGCCATTTGGCCACCTCACACGATGTTGTCACAAGGGCTTACCCAATGCCGGAAATCGGTAGGCGCTCTGCAGCAACCTTGAACCAAAAAGCAGGTTGGCCTGTTGATGTAGTGGACAATATGGAGGCTTGTGCCCAGAAGTACTACGTGGTGTGACCGAGAAAGGATACACAGACACCCCCATGGACTTGTCCTGCTTTGGGCAAGGAAGATGGCCATATTTTCATTTTCATTGCAAGCTGTTGCATGTTGCTTTGACCAGAACGCGGTAACCTTCCACAGGGCTAGTTGAGCGGCGTGTCAGGGGGTTGAGAATGCCGCTGATGCTGCTGTTTGGAGGACCTGAATGATGTGCTGGGCAACTATTTCATTCTTTTGAGCTCTTCGGTCGTCACGCTAGGATATGGCCGTTCTTGCTGATCCTGATGTATGTTGTGGGACTGGCGCGTCCTTAACTAGCTGTCGAACGGCACAGTGGTTGGCGGGACAAATGGAGGTGCCCGCGAAGCAAGGTGGTGCCTGGCTACGGCACCATCTTCATCTTCTGGCGGATCGCAAAAGGCCCGCCTGCTGCTTCTCACATGTTTGACCGTAGATGGGTGAACGCATCAAACATCTAAGTGTCTTGGCAGTGTCTTGGAAGGCTTGGCCGACGTGTCAAGGCAGCGGTTTGCGCACGAAGACCAGGAAGAGGCCAGCAGCGTGCTTGCAGCTTGGGGTTAACATTCCTGGACATCCTCGGACACTTCACTAGCTAAGCAGCTATGCAGCCCAGCCTACGTGTGTTTTGCAGCTTGCTGGGTTGTATGGAGTGGCTTTACTCAAGGCAACATTTTTTTGAACGAGCGCGCACCCTTTATTGAAGTTGGAAAGTTGGACGCTGATGCCTGCTTTCTGCACGTTACCGCAAGGGTGGCATGACTTTGATTTTCCTCTTCTTGCATAGACTGTAAAAGGACATCAACTCTTGTCTCGGTTGACTTGAGGAGGCAAACTATTAGACTCAATCAAGTATGCTCGGTCTTGTGTTGTTTCGACAGGGGTGGCAACTCTCTCCCATATTTTGGAGAGTCTCCATGCCAGGTTGAAGCAAAGAGCACGTGATATGGCTCTTGCAAGGAAAGCTGCGCGGGTCTTTGCCTCTTTGCCTGCCAAATTGCGCCGCAAAACTGAAGGTTTTTTGCATGTGTCGGATGAGTAGTAGTAGTAGTAGTAGTAGTAGTAGTAGTAGTAGTAGTAGTAGTAGTAGGAGTAGTAGTAGTAGTAGTAGTAGTAGTAGGAGTAGCAGTAGTAGTAGTAGTAGTAGTAGTAGTAGTAGTAGGTTTTCAGTATTTTTGTGCCAGGGTCTTTGCGCGACAGGCCTGCGTCTGGAGGACATGTTCCACGTTAGATTCAGATCCATGATGAGCTTTCCAATGCGTAACCCAATGTTCCCTAATGGAGGATTGCTGTCTCATGTCTCTGCAACTGGTGACTAGGATGTGAAGAAGATCGCGCTCAGCAAAGCTAAAGTGGCACAACCCCAAGTCTCAGGTGGTGATGTGAAGGCGGCCCATGAGCTGGCGAGGTGACGCGCGCAGCCCGAGCAAAGTTGTCAGCTGGGCGAGATGTGCTACCGCCTGAGATTTTGATGTGCGCCCGAGATTGTGCAGCGCCAGGCTGAGAGTTGCAGGGAACACAGGCGTCGCCCCTGTTCAGGATGTCGCGAACGCCACAGGCCAGGAGGGGGCTGAAGGTGAGCTTTGCGCACTTTGCCTGTAGGACTGTTAGGCCATGAGTTTCAGACGTTTTACACAAAAGCGCAGACCAAGCTGAGATCAAACACTTCCAGGTGCAGCAGGCGATGTCTGTCAGAGTGGCGGCAGCTTGTGAGAGAGCTGGCGGGCAGCAGATAGTTGCAGGTGCTGCGGCTTGGGGCAGAGAAGGGCGCAGATGGGTTTCGTGAATCAGACTAGATGCAATGTTGAGGCGCTAAAGGTTGATGCCCATGATGGGCGCTTGTGTTGCGAGCCTTGTGCGCAAGTCTGAGCAGTCTGTGTTGCTTAGCTCCGCGACACTATGATGATAGGTGCTGCAGCAGCGGGCGCGGCTGGCGGGCTCTGCTTGGGTGCTTTGCTCTTCTCTGGAGACTCTGCGGCTGCGCAGAAGCGGCTGGCGGGAGAGACGGGGAGTGCGACCGAGGGAGGTCGTGTGAATTGAGGTCGTGTGTGCGTGAACAGTTGAGTCCTGGAGCTCCGGCCCGGGCGACTGCATTTGTAGCCGCGCCGCGTGCGCGAAAAGATTCGGCCAAGCCTTTCTTCAAGAGGCCCCCTCTTGTGATAAGCCCTGAACATTGGTAGGCGGAGCCTAGGATGGGGCACTGCGGCACCCCAGTGCCCGTGCCTGATGAAGGCGCAGAGGAGAGGCCGCTCTTGGCAAGATCGCCGGATCCCGACCGAGCTGGAGGTTCTGGCGGGAGGCCCTTGCAAAGCGTGAGCGGATGGACGTCTTCTACAACCATGAAGAAGTACGAGCGTTATGCTAGGAGGTCAAGAGAGAAGTGCCGCGTGACAAGTGGCGGCAAATGAGTCAAGGACGAAGACGAGGACCTCGGGCAGGAGGAGCGAGGAAGAAGGGGATTCAGAGGGAGGCGTCCCGAGGGTCTCAAGCAGGCATATGCTGCCGACTGGAAGGTGAAGAGTCGAGCAGACAAAAGGCCCCCAGAAAGGAGGAGGCAAGGGAGGCTCGAAATCACACTCGCTGGGTGAACTGCGCTGCAAGCTGCGAGCGACAGCGATCACGAGGAGGATGCGAAGGACTGCTACCTGCGGACCTACTGGCCCATGAGACGGCGAGGAAGAAGACTTACAAGGTGGCGCTCGAGACGGTGATTGCGGCGCTGTGAACAGAAGACAACATGGCGAAGAAGATCAAGATGAAGATGGCGAGCAAGGGAAAGAGCGAGGCGGAGCCTAACGCTGTCATGGGGTGTTGCAGTTGCTGCCCCACATGACCAAGGAGGAGAAGAATGACATCTACAAGGCCTTGAGGCAGGATCAGGGCAAGGAACTTGAGAGTCAGAAGTTGGTCGCCCGCGAAGAGGAGAAAAGAAGCCAAAGTGTAGTTCCAGGCCAAGTAGATCCCGGATGTTTGCTTGCCCTTCTCGTACATCCTCCATTGCCAGTCCTCCAGGTGCTTCTTCCTCACTGGCTCTCTTGTTGGATGGCAGTAGATTGAATGGACCGTCCCGACCATTCGACTTCTGTTTCAGCTGACTCGCCCGCTCTTCTCGCACCGCCCTCTCCTCCGTGTACTCCTTCCGGGTTTCCGCTTGGGCCTTTGGAAGCCATTTGCAGCAGCCCCAAGCCACAGCATAGAGCAGGAGCAGCGCCCCCGCACCTGGTGCTATTTGGCCCGAGCGGCAAATGCAACATCGCATTATGCCCGTCGCAGGAAGTGCTCACAGAAGAGGGTGCTGTTCTATTCCTGGGAAGCGCGGTATGTTGACGACCGCGTCGAGCAAGATGGATCTGGAGGCCTTGGAAGGGAAGAGCGCTGGGAGGGAAAGCGCAAAGGCCGGCCGGGTGATTGTGGACACGGGTTTTCCTTGCTACGCTGCCGTCTTCTGGTTCAGACCTTGAAGTGGCGACCACGGCCACGCCGAAACCACGAATGTAGGGCATCGCCTCTTCCAAACCTCAGGTCCCAGCGCGGTAGGTTGATCGGCTCCAGGAAACTGAGCCGCCGTCATCCTCACGCAGCTCCAAGTGAACACCTCCTCCAGACGGAGTGGCCCTATGCTTCTTCCGCCCCCATGATGTCGACCACCGTCTCCGACAACTCAAGGTCGCACCACCGATTGTGAATTTTTAGGAGGCGCTTGCCGAAGTTGAAGACCATCTCCCATCTTGCCATCTCCGACTGTCCGTCTCTTCCTCCACGGCCTCATCTCCATCTTCAAACTGCTCCTCCAGAAGAAGCTCGAAGAGCCAGCTTTGGTAAGGCCCCAGGAGCCGGAGAAGATCATCGAGGATGCGAAGGTAAAGCAGGCCGCGGTGAGATGGGCGAAGAAGTGGCAATCCGGAGTGCCAAGCAAGGGTGGCCGAGCAAGGCCCCACTCGACGACGCCCAGCGCCAAGCCCAAGCGGATTCAACAGGTGGCCATTGATGCGAAGTATGTGTGCGACAAGAGAGCGCCGTTGTCCATTGCCATTGTGTGACATCCAATCACCAGGCCGTGATGCTGAAGACACGGGCAGCGGATTGCGTTGGCGGCAAGTTCCTACGCCGATGGACACAGAAGTTTGGTGCGCCGGTGAGGAGAGTTCGACGGTTCTTTCGCGTCCTTGCTGGAACAACTGGCCATGGCAACTTGGAGTGGCGGAACGTCACGGAGAACTCTTGGAAGTAGCCACGCAAGACCGTGGATGAGCGCAGCTGCGAGGGGTGCAATGATATGAGAATGGCATTGTCGGCAACGGTTGCGGCAAAGAATGGCGCAATCATCAAGGCTGGCTACACCTCGAATCAGCGGTTGTTCAGACAGGAGGTGATCTTTCCGAGCTTGCTGGACGAGGAAGAGAAGCCAGCAGTTGTTGCAAGAGTGCACCGAGCATGGACCGCGGCGAGGATGGCGCTCTTTCGCGAGAGGACCCGCAACCATGCAATGCAATGTTGGTGCAGGAGGCCAAAAGAAGGCGCTTCATATCCTGAAACAGCCGAGTGTGAGAAGGAGGGTTGGGGCCAAGGGCGACTGGCCCGAGACACGATCCAGGGCAAGCTTCGCAGCCCCTACGGTTGGAAGAACAGCAGCAGCAGCAAGAGGAGCAGCAGCCGCAGAGGAGACAGGAGCAGAGAAGACAAGATGAGGGGCAGCCGGCGCAAGGCAACAGCACGCGCTGGACGATGTCCCGCAGGTCATTAAGAAGAGGCTGCAAGAAGAAATGACGGAACCAGGTGGCGATGGTGGATATGAGAGACGGGCAAGCCGGTCTACAGCCGCGCCCGGTGTCACCTCCAAGCCCATGAGCTGACTGTGCTGAGCCACTTATCTTGGTCGGTGACCTGACTTTCGCTGTGTGTGGATGAGATGAAGAAGCCCCCGGAGAAGAAGGCCAACTTCCCGTGGAGGGGAGTGACGATGTTTGTCAAGGAGCCGAAGAAGAGAAGGAATGCCCGAGGTTGCTCATGGAAGCAGCGGATGGCAGTGCAGAGGTGCAGATGGCTAGGGGCCTGAGGAGCTCTGGGTCGAAGATGTGAAGGACAGCTGGCGGAAGTGCAGAAGAAGAATGGCAAGGAGCTAGACTCGCAGTACTTCGACCAGGCTGAGAAGGCGAAGTTCAAGGAGTCCGCACAGAGGCAGGGGGGGGCGCCAAAGGCCCAGGTTCCCCATCTGGCCAGGACAAGAGGGGTGTCTATGACAACCTCACGAACTACGTCAAGAAGATCGCTGCGGACGCCTGGCCATGCAGATGAGATGGCTGTGCTCTGGCGCTCCGTTGGCGTCTGGCCCGTCTTGAGCATGTGGCTCTTCACATCGGTTGCGGTCAAGCCCTTGTTCTGGACGCCCCGGCGCCAGTCTTGCCACCTCAACCTTACCGTGGGTGAGGCGCTCCACAAGGTACCTCATGTACATGTAACCCATGAGGTTCGCCATGCGCTTCCCGTTCTCCACTGACTCGCGCCGCGGCCAGGTGGAAGCCCATCACCACGAGCTGCGACAACAGCACGAGACGGAAGGCTTGGTTCCAGGATCAGGCAACAAGCTCTTTTCAAAATGTGAACAGTTGAGTGTTGTGGCATGCATTTTCCTGGAGCTTGGGCACGAGCGACTGCATTTGCAACCGTGGCGCGTGCGCGAAAAGGGTTCCGGTCGCGCCGAAGGCTCTTACTGTTTGTTTGGGTTGGAACCCACCTTTCTTCAAAAGGTCCCCCTTTTGGGATAAGCCTTCAACGGTGTGAAGTGTGAGGCATGAGTAAAGTGAGGCGTGAAGCGTGGGAGGTCGTGAGGCTCCAAGCGTCAGGTGTGAGGCGATGGACGGCACTCCTTGAGAGGCAGATGCGATTTCAGCAGCGCAGCAACGAAATCGCTGGACACCCAGACTGCGTGCAGCTGGAGTAGAAGGGAAGCCGCTTTAAGGGATGCTGATTCTGCAAGTTCCACATAGACTTCCCCATGCCAGTTTGCTTCCTTGGCAAACGACTGTTCACAAACATTCATGAATTCTCGCTCTTTCCCTTCCGCGCTTGGCCACGCCCTATGAACATCGATGGAGTGAACGGGCGATGGGCTGCTCTGGTTGACCTCTTCCTCCATCATGCCCACTTTCTCCGTTCGTTTACTTGGCGTGCGATTCAAGAGCTAACATGTGCGCGTCTCATCTTTCCCTTTCCTTTCGTTCACGACCAATGCCATCTCTTGATGGCTGGCGAGCAGCTGAAAATCTCGTGAGGAGCCGTCCATCACAGAGCTCCATCTCAAGACAAACTTTGTTCCGCATGATCATCAAAGTAAGCCGTATGAGGCCCAAACTCAAATGCTCCAAGATCCAACATGCTTGTTTTTTGTTGTTCTTCATTGCCTGCTTGTGCAGGCACGGTTGCTATCCGCTCGAAGCTGCGACGTGGCAGCTTGTCATTGAATTTGATGTGCAAAGATTGTCCTGAAGAGGGGGACAGGGTTTGCCGCCTGAATGGCGTGAATGGCGAGGGTTTTGATCCAATCATTGCAAGCAAAGCTGAACCTGATCTATGAGCGCAGAGAAAGACACAGTGTTGCATTTGTTTGGACATGACCCAGGCTTGCGCAAGCGGCTGCTTCTGCTTTCGGTGCGAAACGGGTGTCGTGGTATTGTGATCCTTTGCTTTGCAATCGGCAGGCTCAGGGGTTTTTGGAACGACCTTCCCTCAATCTAGTGCAGCTGGGACTCTCATTTGTGCTGGGACTCTCACAGACTGAGCGGGATAACCAAAGAGACTGAGCGGGCTAGCCTGGAGAAAAGTCGAGATGGAAGGAATAGTCAAGCAATGCCAGGCAACCTCTGCTGCCGGAGTTGCCTACTTGTGCACCTTGCCTACGCCCTTGGAAGGCCAGCTTGAGAACTTGTACGGGCGCCTTTTGCCTGCCTTGGATTTCAGCCAGCCTTGCTTGCGAAAAGCTCAGGTGGGGCGGGGCTGGTAGCCCACGGGAGTGCCATTGCCAGGCGGGGGGGAATGTTGTGACATTCTCCAGACTACTGGCAGGCGCTTTTGGCTAGACGTTCCGAGCATTCAGCACCAGTCATGCGGCATGAACTGCAACGGACTGCGGTCTTGCGGAACGATCCATGCCTTCGGCGCAATGCCATGAGGGAGTCAACAGCCACGTCCTGGGTGGCTTGATAACTGCGCGGCTTGATGGCCATCCCACGTGAGGGATGTGGCCGACAACTCCCAGACTCATCAACACAATATTTTAACGCCTCCGGCTCAGGCCGCCGACGTTACAGGCCTCCCCTCTGAGATGTTTGCCCCCTTCCCCTGTTGAGATCCTTCCCCCTTTCCCCCCTAAGCCCTTTTTTTCTCCCGGGATCTTCTCCCTTTTCCTTCCTAAGATCTTTTCCACCCCTTTCCCTGTTGAGATCCTTTCCCCCCCTTTCCCCCCTAAGCCCTTTGCCCCCCCTGAGATCTTCTCCCTTTTCCTCCCGAAGATGTTGTCCCTCTTTCGCTGTTGAGTTCCTTTCCCCCCTTTCTCCCTAAGGCCTTTTCCACCCTGAGATCTTCTCCTTTCCCTATTGAGATCCTTTCCCCCCTGTCCCCCCTAAGGCCTTTTCCCACCCTGAGTTCTTCTCCCTTTTCCTCCCTACGATCTTTCCCACCCTTTCCCGCTTAAGATCCTTTCCCCCGTTTCCCCCCTAATAAGGCCTTTTCCACACAAAATCTTCTCCCTTCTCCTCCCTACTTTCCCTGTTGGCCTTTTCAGGTCTTCTCCCTTTTCCTCCCTAAGATGTTTTCCCCTCTTTCCCTGTTGAGATCCTTTCCCCCCCTTTCCCCCCTAAGGCCTTTTTCCCCCAAGATCTTCTCCCCTTTCCTCCCTAACATCTTTTCCCCCCTTTCCCTGTGTAGATCCTTCCCACCCTTTCCCCCCTAAAACCTTTCCCCCCTGAGAGCTTCTCCCTTTTCCTACCTAAGATCTTTTCCCTCCTTTCCTTGTTGGCATTTTTTCGCCAGATCTTCTCCCTTTCCTCCCTAAGATCTTCCCCCCCTTTCCCTGTTGAGATCCGTTCCCCCCTTTCCCCCCTAAGGCCTTTCCCCCCTTAAGATCTTTTTCCTTCCTAAGATCTTTTGCCACCTTTCCCTGTTGAGATCCTTTCCCCTCTTCCCCCCTAAGGCCTTCCGGCATCTTCTCCCTTTTCCTCCCTAAGATTTTTTCCCCCCCTTTCCCTGTTGAGATCCTTTCCCCCCCTTTCCCCCTAAGGCCCTTTCCACCCAAGATCTTCTTCCTTTTCCTCCCTGGGATGTTTCCCCCCTTTCCTGTTGAGATGCTTTCCCCCCTTTCCCCCCTTAAGGCCTTTTCGGATCTTCTCCCTTTTCCTCCCTAAGATCCTTTCCCCCCTTTCCCCCCAAAGGCATTTCCCTTCCTGAGGTCTTCTCCCTTTTCCTCCCCACGATCTTTTCCCCCGGTTGAGATCTTCCCCCTTTCCCTTGCCTCGCTAGGATCTTTTCTCCCTGTCCCTGTTGAGGTCCTTTCCCACCCTTTCCCCCCTTCAGGCCTGTTCAGATCTTCTCCCTTTTCCTTTCTAAGATCCTTTGCCCCTTTCTGCTGTTGAGATCCTTTCCCCCTTTCCTTCCTAAGGCCTTTCCCCCCCTGAGATCTTTCCCCCCCTGAGATCTTCTTGCGTTTCTATCCTTTCCCCCTTTCCCCCTAAGGCCTTTTCCTTCCTGAGATCTTCTCCCTTTTCCTCCCTAAGATGTTTTCCACCCTTTCCCTGTTGAGATCCTTTCCCCCCCTTTCCCCCCTCCACCCCTTTCCCTGTTGAGATCATTTCTCCCCTTTCCCCCCTAAGGCCTTTCCCCCCCAGATCTTCTCCCTTTCCTTTCTAAGATCTTTCCCCCCCTTTCCCTGTTGAGATCCTTTCCTTCTTTTTATTGTAAGGTCTTCCCCCCCTCCCTTTTCCTCCCTAGATCCTTTCCCCCCCTTTCCCCGTAAGGCCTCTTTCCGCCCAAGATCTTCTTCCTTTTCCTGCCTAAGATGTTTTCCCCCCTTTCCCGGTTGAGATCCTTTCCCCCCCTTCCCCCGCACACACACATGCACACACACACACATACATACACAAACGCACACAGACACGGATTTATATATATGTATATGTTTTTTACACATACGTACATACATACATACCTACATATGTACACACATACACATACACACACACACATACACGCACAGACACACAGACACGCACACATACATACATACACACATAAATACACACATACATTCATGCATACATACGTACATACGTACATACGTACATGCGTTCATGCATACATACACACATACGTTCGTACATACATGAGACTTAGAGACACACAGACACACGTGCAGGCATACGGACATACGGACATACCGACACGCGAACATGCAAACGTACGGACATACAAGCGTGCAGCCGAACAGTTCTGCAGACGTACCGGCGTACAGTCCTACAGACATGAACACGTACAGACATACAGGCAAGCAGACAGAGACAGAGGCAGAGACAGGGACGGGGGCAGAGACGGACACGGACACGGACACGGACACAAGACACGACAGAGACAGACAGACAGACAGACAGACGGACAGACAGACTGACTGAGACACAGACAGAGACACAGACGGAGGCAGAGACAGAGACAGACAGAGACGGACTCAGACACGGACGCGGACACAGGACACAGACACACGACAAGCAGAGACAGACAGACAGAGACAGAGACAAGACAGAGATAGACACAGAGACAGAGAGTCAGAGACAGAGACAGACACAGAGAGAGAGAAACAGAGACAGAGAAGTCATGTTTTTACCCGCCGAGCCGGTGTGAGTCATAGCAGTAGAGAACAGTTCTCGCAACTTTCGCAACGGAGCGAATAGCTCCTGCCGGCTTGGCCCCCCCCGCCGCTTTGGCTGCAACTTGCTGGACACCAGCAAGGTTGCCTCCTTCCCGAGAAGCAAGGCAATGGCGCAGGAGGCGCTCAAGTACGCTGCGGGGATCTCCGTGACCAGCCAGCGCGAGAGAGGACGGGAAAGGCCTGACCAGTCCACCGCCCGGTTGTCCATGACGATGGTAAAGCTGCGCGGGCCCAGGCCCACCAGCTTGCCAAAACGGCAGCGGTGTTCCATCGCGCCGGATCAAGCCAACCATTGGACAACGAGCGTTCCAACGTGATCCGTTAAACGCGTCACCCACAGAGGGCGATCCCAAAACGTAAGGCAAGTGAAACCCGCATGTTATCAACCAAGCCAGCCGGCAACGTGTGACCCGACAGACAGACAGACAGGCAGACGGACCGACAGATGCGCAGAAGGCTAGACGCACAGACGCAGACAGACAAACGTACAGACATACGTGCGTTTGTCCACCCATCCATCCATCCATCCATCCATGTTTGCAACCACGCACGCCTGCCCGCCTACGCGTCTGGCTGACGGCGAGCCCCGCACTTTTACACAACGCGGGCATGCGCGCCCGTTCGCACATCCATGCGCGCATGTCCACACGCAAACTTACACAGACACACACGCGGACACACACACACACACATGCACGCGCGCTTGCGTACAACACGCGCGCGCACACAGCGCACACGCTGATACACACATACATACACACATACATACACACACACACACATACATACATACTTGCAGACACACATTCACACACAAACATACACAAACATACACAGACACACATGCATACTTCCTGACACACATGCACACATACAATACATACGTACGTACATACATACATGCATTCACACACACGCACACAGACACACGCACCTACATACACACGTACACACCTACATAGATAGAGTACACACACGTGTGTGCGTACACACACAGACACACATGGATACTTTCGTTACTAGTTGCAAACGTGTGCGCGCAAACGCGCAAGCAGCCACACGCATAGCGCGCTGAGCAGCAAAAACACGCAAACGCACACACACATACTGACAAAAACAAGCAAACAAACAAACGCAAACACAAACACAAAAAGCAACAAACAGCCACACGAACACAGAAACACATAAACGCACAAACGCACAAGCACACAAACAAGCAAACAAGCAAACAAGCAAAAAAGCAAACGCAGAAACACAGAAACACACTACCACACAGAAGCAAACAAGCGAACGGACAAACGCAGAACACACAAACACCAAAAAACACAACAAACGCAAGCGCGCAAACAAAGCAAGCAAGCAAACAAAAACAAAGAAGCAAGCAAGCGAGCAAACAAGGAGGCGAGCAAACAAACAGGCAAGCGGACGCAAGCCAACCAATCAGACAGAAACAATGGTAGCAAACAAACAACCGAACAAGCAGCGACCGCGCAAGCGAACAAACGAGCTATCGAACAAACAAACGCGCTGGAACAAGCGACAGTAGCGCAGCGAAGCTAGCGACAAGAAGAAATCACGCACCAGTTCGCGACAAAGACAGACACACATAAACACACACAAAAGAGAGAGAGAGAGAGAGAGAGAGAGAGAGAGAGAGAGAGAGAGAAACTTGCAACAAACACGCGCGCAAACCCACGTGCGCACACACACACACACACACACGCGCGCGCTCAAACATGCAAACGCGCAAGCACACACAAAACGATGTGCCTACAGACGCACAGACGCACACACGCGCAGCAGCAGCAGCGACACACACACACAACCACACTCACACGCGCCAGCTTTGAACTCATCACACTGACACACACACACAGGCATGCGCGCAGCAGACGCATACGCGCGCAAGAGTTGCAAGTAAACGCAACTGCGCGCCCAAACGTTCAAGAACGCGGAAGAAAGAACACACTATGTCCTTCAACGTGTTGGGTTGCGTCTGCTGCTAGCGTGATGTAGGCGGGAGATGAGACTGAGGCTGATTAGGCGCATAAGGCCGGAACACGGTGATTAGCTCAAAAGCCTAACCTTGGTCATACTTCCTGTGCGCGGGGCCCTCTCACGTTGCAAGGCCGTGCAAGTGTCTTGTGTCATCGCGCCATGTGTGCGGGCGCAGCGCTTCGGCGCAAGGTTTCCTTGTACTAGAGCGCTGCTGAGGTGTGCTGTTCAGTTGGGTTGGCTAAGCAGTGTACACCTTGCGGCGCTTTACCTTTGTAAGGCGGCTGGGACGTGCGGCAGACGCAGCTGGTCGTACTCTGTCGGCGCGCCCAGAGCGTCGGGGTGTTCGATTTGTTAGGCAGAACGAGCTTGGCGCACTTGCGCCGCAGTCGAGTTTGGGTAGGGCTGTGTGACGCAAGCGACAGCCGGAGTTCACGTTTTTGCGGCTAGGATGAATGAACATAGTCCCAGCAACCCTCTAACCCTCTGTCGGTTTGAGACTTGTTGGCCATTTTGCATGTCAGCTCGGACCTCGTTTGCGATCAACAGGAGGCTTGGTGGTGCGCGCCCGATGCTTTGCGTGTTGTGTTCCCTTCTTAATGCAACGGTGTTTGTTCGTTTCATTGACTCACAGAGCTAGACAGCCTTTATTTTGGATCACTTGCGCTGGCAAGGGTGGAGGAGCCTCCTCCCAGCCAGCGGCAGCGACGCCGATGGCATGTTTGAGTGCTGGCTGTGCGTCGGGACGCTGAGATGGCAAAAAGAGCAGCCAGGCCGCGCGGTTCTTGTCGAATAGGGTTGCAGCTGTGGGGAGTTTTGCGGACTGAAGCTTAGCTTGACATGTAGAGACTGCTGGCTGGACTCTGAGCACCTGTCCCAGCATGCTGGGGATGTCAAATCTTCAATCAGCCTTGGCCGTTCATGCTCAGACTGGCGCGGCTATGGCCTTTCGGCGCCGCAGTCTCATTGTCAGAAATGATGCCTGAGTGCCCAACTCGAGATGGATCATTGGAACAGTGCCCGGCGCCTTCTCCTCTTCTGAGGCCAAGGGCGTGTGTGACGTTGATCAGGGCAGAAGAAGCAGCGCGCGAACCACCCTGAAAGCGATGTTTACGAGATGTTTCGGAGCAATGTTCGGACAACGATGACGCATCGAACAAAACAGCTGCTGCAACAGGATCTGGTGTCAGATGCTTTGGCAGGGATTTTTGGCTTCTGCCTTACAGTGTCTGTTGTATTTTGTGCAATCGGCTTTTGGTTGCTTTTGTGGCTTCGGTGGTGGTTTTCCAGCAAATCTCAAGGCATCGTCCGCTCACGACTGAGCCTGACGCCGCAGCAACGCCCAGCAAAACAGGGCGTGTCCGACGAAGCATGCAGATCAGATGGCGTTATTCAAGTAACGCTGTGCGAATTACTGGGGGCCAGCCCCCCAAATATTCAAACAATACGCATGCCCCCAAACAATGCAAAGGCCCATTAGTCGAACAGTTCCGAAGGTAGGGGCGGGGGAAACCCGCTCGGACCGTGGCTACCTTGTTTTTGTCCAGTTTGCGCTTGCGCGTCTCTGGGCCCAGAATAAATTGCAAGAGATGTTCGTAAGATCGGTGTCGCAGCGCGCGCTTGACCTGCTCTCACGTGGAAGCCGACTTTGCCCAGTTTGGTCATCGGCGCGGAGCGCGCTCGAGGGCCTGCCCCGCATGCCCCGTCGTCCTTGTTGCGATGTTGCGCTTTTGGCGCAAAAGCCCTTTCTTTGCATGTACGCTAGTACACATTGATAAGAATAGGTCCGCAGCTGAGTGTTCCCACCAGGTAGGACGTATGCGTTCACACAAGAGAAAGTCAGGCTTGGTCTCTTCCCTGCCCCTAAGCCGCCGGGTTTTCCCAAAAAGCAATTCCGAGAAAAACGGACCCTCAGTTGTCGGGCCTGTTGATGCCTGGTTAACTGTCGGAACAGTGACAGCTGGAACCAAGCGGGGCCGCTTCTCCAGAGCAGGCTAAGTGGAGGAGCGCTCGTGCGCCGCGAGTTGCTGAGCAACCAGATGGAAAACGCGTGCAGGAAGCCTTTCCTCGAGGAAGCAGTCCCAGAAACAAAGTTGAGTTCCTCGGTTTCATGCCTAAGTTCGCGATCGGCCCAAACTTTTGTGTTTCCCGAAGATTCGGAATTGTAGTTTTCCAGCGCGCGCGCGAAAACGAAACACACTTCAAACCCATTTCTCAATCTGCGAAAGCTCCGCGGCAGCCTTCGCGAAAGAGTTTTGCTATCTCTCTTCGGCTGCAACTGGGTTTAGAACACTGCTCATTTGCTCTCGATGCGCCCTCGCTGTCGAACAAATGGTCTGCAGTCCAAGCCCGGGCGTCTGGCTCTTTTTGCTACGCATTGTGTCACAACTGAACACCCTCCCTCCCTCCCTCCCTTCCCCCGCCCTCTCTCTCTCTCTCTTTCTCTCTCTCTCTCTCTCTGTCTCTCTCTCTCTCTCTCTCTGAAATCAAGCTCATTTGGGGGGGTTATCCTTGAACATCGTGCAGCGTCACACTATCGGCGTTGATCTGCCCAGCCTTGGCAAGGAATACCTGTTCTTCGGGCTAAGAGGCATCTAGTTCTCAACCCCCTGAGCAGTATCTTAGCAAGAGCCTTGCTCCGGGCATCTGGGCACTCCTTGGCAGCGGTGCGTAATCCGCCTTGATTGTTAAGGCCTATCGCATGAGCCGTAGTTCTGTAGAGCCCCAGTGTCTCACAGTCCCGCAAGCACGTATCAGCAATCTGTCGCGTGATGTGTCCCAGCAGCAAAGTGGTCGGTTTAACTAGGCTACTAGCCGCCACTGTTCAAGATGCACTGTTCCAAGGATGCCCAAGCCATCAAGCATCCGCAGCGTTGGAGGCTTCTTCCACATCACGTGGCACGCGAGGGTGTTCCATCACGCCTGCTCCTCCCATCAGGACAACTTGCAACAGCGCCAGCCCCTGGAACATCAAGCGGTTGCCAACACACAGTTGCCTCAGCTCTTGCAAGAGGAGGGCATCAAGACCCCAATGTTGCTCAATGTTGCTGCTTGCTTTTCAGTGGTTTGGGCGCCTTGCGACATCCAACGTGAACATGCCTCGCACCAGACCAAGTCTCGCAATGGGGGCCGAGTGCCCTCCCCGTTTTCAACCCTTGGTGGGCGGTGATGCTGTTGGCAATGCTACTTATACGACCCGGCCCAAAGCCATAAAGTTTCACCCACCCGCGACCCAAAACAAGTCCCAATTGAAATTGTGATTTGCGGTATTTTCACCTCAGAAAGAAAAGCAAACATCCACACAAAGAAGTCCAAAATCAATTCTGCACTTCTATGTAGTCATGTTCGTTTGTGAATTTCGGGATATATATCTCTATATATATATATATATATATTAGCATCTAGGAAACCGCTAGGAATTGCCAGTTCCAGTGCAGGAGCTTGTCCTTGTTGACCGCCGCTCCAGTGGCATCGCAGTGCGCGATGCCCCAGATTGAGCGACAGCGTGGCGAATTTGCAAGAGAAAGCACAGGTTTTTGCAAAGAGACAATGCATAGTTGTTCAATCTTGCTGCTCACATGAAACAGGCGCCTTCAAAGATACAACTTGCAACTACACACAAATTTTGCGATGGAGCACCCCGTTATCCCAGGCTGGGCCCAAGGCCCTCAATACACTTTCTGACAGCCGGATCCTTGGCAGAGAGGCTGCAGGCGGACTTCCAACGATTTTGGCACTGCTCTCAGTTGTTGCAGGATGCTGATGCCGCTCTCAAGGCCTGACATGCTAATGGCGCTAGCTTTGCCAAGTGCCAGCTTCAAGCTTTGCTCAGGCGGCAGTGGTTACAGGCACTAGCAAGGCCTTCGCTGGAGCAGACATCAAGAAGCTTGGCATGCAGCTTGTGACGGAGCTAGCTCGTTGCTCCAGCAAAGGCAGCCTGGCTCCAGACATTCTGATTCGATGGCTCCAACGACAGACGTGGGATTTCTAAATTCTTGAGTTTCAAAATTTCAATTCGTAGGGGATACACAAGCATCTCAGAATCTTCAGGGCGCCCTGTTGACTGTGAAAGCCATGCCTGCGCGCACATGAACTATGCGCTTTCCTCTGTGCTTGTCCCTGCCGCTGGGGGCAGCCATTCGAGAATCCAGCGTCGCAAGGCTGCACTTAGGCCGGGCGGCATTCAACGTTTGGAGTCGCTTGTGTTGTGGCACATTTAAGACATGCTTGCTAAATTCTATCCTTTTGCCAAGCTTGGGCGTCATTCAATCAGTATTCCACCTTTCCTTCTTGGATCCATCACTTCATATGCCACGAGCGCGTCGCCGCAAATTCAGACCTGTTTCCACGATGTGAGCTGCTTCTCTTTTTGCTGTTTTGAGGGGATGGTCCGACAAAAAGCCAAGCGTGCGCAGGTTTTGGGCCTGAGGCCTCTTGAGGTCAAAAGATTGCTGAAATGCGGAAGCTTGGGCCACATCCTCTTGAAGAATTGGACGAAAACAATCCGAAGGATCTCAGATGCGTCTGTCTGCCAAGCTTGTGGACTTTCTGTCCACAAAGTCGGGGCATTCTGCCGCCAGAGCAACCTGGAATGTTGGCTGTTCTTTGTCTCCATTCGGGCGGTGAACGTAGAAACTGGCATAACTGGCAAAATTCAAGCCACTACATTGCGGTCGCGAAGCTCACGCAGGCAGACAGCCAGTTTCTTGCGCTCGCGCCAATTTACAGGCATTCGAATCGTGCGCCAGTGTTCCAGAAGTGGGGCTGTGTACAGAGCCGCTGACAACATGCGGGTCACCTTTAAGTTTGAGTGTGGCTCGCCCTGCAGATGTTTGTGTTGAGACAATCGCTCGCTCGAGCTTCTCATCAACGGCCCTAAGATTCGTCAGGGCATGGTCTTTTTTTCATGTGCTGCCGCGAGATTGAAGTTTTTCAGGGGGCCATCCATCATCCCTTTACGTGTTCTCGCACGTCGATACTCTTGCTCATTAGTGGTAAAACCGGCTGAGCTTTGAAGCCCGTGGGACAAGAAGCCCCAGATGTCGCGGCTTGGTTTGCCTAGCGTTCTCTGGTGCGGCGGTATCACCGGTATCTCTTTGCAGTGCTTTGGTATGGCCAGATGTTCGTCGTGACGTTACGTTCACACATGCGTGGCGGCAAGAGGTCTTCCCACGCGTTCGTGTTCATGCGAAGGTGCGTGAGCCATTTGCACGTAAGTTTGTCCAGTGGCAACACCCGAACACATGCATTCTTTGACAGCTTTGCCAAGGACCTGACAGCTCCGCTGCTTTTCAACACGCAGAATGCACTCAACAAGCTTCTCTTGCGCCATGGTTCACAAAAGGCAGCCGATCCAGTTTGCCTTGCAGGACTCAGTAAAGCAACAATGAGTCATTGTAAGTAGGCATGTACTCAAATAAAGAAGCGACAGGCGGGCGACTTAAAAAGCCACAACATGCAAGCTTGATGGTCCTTTTTGGACTGCTCAGAAAGGCCAGTGCCGTATTGGTCTCATTGATTTGAGAATCTGTTCTGCTATCCTGCACATAGCTGGCACATGCTTTCCGGGGACATTCAATCTTGCTCCACCCATGCAGGTACTACATCAACACAGATCAAGGAACGTCCAGACGACTTCACATGCAAGAACAAGCATCCGAGCTTGCCTTGCCGCTGCACCGTTTCAGGCAGGAACCGGAGAGGCTGCCTTGACGACTCTTGCTGCCTGGTTCTTTTGTCTGTAAAACTTGAATGCCTCCGGCTCAGGCCGCCGACATTACAGGCCTGCATTCTTATATGCGTCCCTTTGGAATTATCCCATTGGACTTCTCCCATTGAAAGCCTCCCTTTGGAAGTTTTCTTTGCATTTTTTCATTGGAAGTTTCCCTTCGGAATTTTCCCTTTGGAATCTTCCCATAGGAAATGTCCCATTGGAAGTGTTCCTTTCGATTTGTTCCCTTGCGAGTTCTCCCATTGCAACTTTCTCTTTGGAATTGTTTCTCCCGTTGGAATCCTATATTTGGAATTGTCATTTTTTTTCTCCCATCGAAATTCTCCCAGTAGAATTCTCCCATTGGAATTCTCCCAGTGGTATTTCCCGTTGGAATTCTCCCATTGAAATTCTCCCTTTGAAATTCTCACATTGGGTTTTGCCATTGGAATCATCCCGTTGGAATTGTGACATTGGAATGTTCCCTTCAGATTGAAGCTGTGCCTTGTGAATATTCCCTTTGAGGAGCACAGAGGGTCAAACGAAGAGTCTCCTTCAAGACATTTTTGATTTTAGGCCATCAATATTTCAAGATTGTAAGCCATCATTACCATAATATTTTAACGCCTCCGGCTCAGGCCGCCGACATTACAGGCCTGCTTTCTTATTTGCGTCCCTTTGGAATTGTCCGCTTGCCCCCTTCCCCTCTAAGATTTTTGCCCCCCTTTCCCTGTTGAGATCTATTCCCCCTTTCCCCGCTAAGGCCCTTTCTCCCTCTGAGATTTTTGCCCTTTTCCTCCCTAAGATGTTTTCCCCCCCCTGAGATCTTTCCCCCCCTTTCACTGTTGAGATCCTTTCCCCGCTTTCCCCCCCAAGGCCTTTCCCCCCGCTGAGATCTTCTCCCTATTCCTCCTTAAGATCCTTTGCCCCCTTTCCCTGTTGAGATCCTTGCCCCCCTTCCCTTTAAGGCCTTTCCAGATCTTCTCCCTTTTCCTTCCTAAGCTTGTTTCCCCCCTTTCCCTGTTGAGATCCTTCCCACCCTTTCCCCCCTAAGGCCTTTCCCCCACTGAGAGCTTCTCCCTTTTCCTTCCTAAGATCTTTCCCCCCCTTTCCCTGTTGGCCTTTTTTCCCCCAGATCTTCTCCCTTTCCTCCCTAAGATCTTTTCCACCCCTTTCCCTGCTGAGATCCTTTCCCTCCTTTCCCCCCTAAGACCTTTCCCCCCCGAGATCTTCTCCCTTTTCCTCCCTAAGATCTTTCCCCCCCTTTCCCCCCTAAGGCCTTTTCCCCCCCAAGATCTTCACTCTTTTCCTCTAAGATCCTTTGCCCCCTTTCCCTGTTGAGATCCTTTCCCCCCTTTCCCCTAAGGCCTTTCCAGATCTTCTCCCTTTGCCTTCCCAAGATTGTTTCCCCCCTTTCCCTGTTGAGATCCTTCCCACCCTTTCCCCCCTAAGGCCTTTCCCCCCCTGAGAGCTTCTCCCTTTTCCTTCCTAAGATCTTCCCCCCCTTTCCCTGTTGGCCTTTTTCCCCCAAATCTTCTCCCTTTCCTCCCTAAGATGTTTTCCACCCCTTTTCTGTTGAGATCCTTTCCCCCCTTTCCCCCCTAAGACCTTTCCCCCCCTGAGATCTTCTCCCTTTTCCTCCCTAAGATCTTTCCCCCCCTTTCCGTGCTGAGATCCTTTGCCCCCTTTCCTCCCTAATAAGGCCTGATGCTAAGGGTGCGAAAGCGGACCCGGCAGGAATCGAACACCCGAATTTTGCAACAAAACTGTGTCGCGCAGGCCCGCAAAATGAAAATATTTAGTGAAGCGTCTTCGAATCACCGCGTGATACGTGGACCCCCCCCCCTCCCGCAATAGTCTGAAATGGTGCCCCCGGGGAGGGGTAAGGGGAGGGACATTTCTTATGTCCAACACGCCGTCTGTTGTCGGCGGATTTGTAGTCACTAAGATTTGAAGCCATTCAGCTTTTAACGTGTTAAACCGTGAAGATGTTAAGAATTTTCTCCATTAAGGCTCTAAGGTTTGAAGCCATCAAGGTTTCAACGTTGTAAGTCATTACTTTTTGAAGACGTTAAGTTAAGCCATTAAGATGCTAACACGTTAAGCCACAAATATTTTAAGATGTGTATGCCGTTCTTTTTCAGAGTTTAACCCATTTAGGTTTTTAGGTTTTCAGGGTTTATTTTGAGAATTTGAGCCACTTGGATTCGTTCACGCTAAGCCACTAATATGTTGAGATTTCAGCCATTTCAGTTTTTAGTTGTTGAGCCAGAAAGATTTCAAGCCACTAGACCCTAAGATTTGAACGCCCTTAAGGTTTGTAGATTTGAAACTTAACACGTTAAGCCGCCATTAAGGTTTGAAGATGTTGAGCCGGCAATGTTTTAGGGTTCTAAGCCACATATTTTAAGATTGCACACCATCTTCATTTTGTGAGCCGTTCATGTTTTTAAGAATTTCAGTAAGATAACACGTTAAGCCACTAAGGTTTAAGATGTTCAGCCACTACAGGTTTTGGAGCTTAAGCCATTAAGATGTTAATAGTTTAAGCCATCAATATGCTCAGACTATTTTCGTCTATTGAGGTTTGAACACCTTCAGCCACTAAGGCTTTCAGATTTGAAGCCCTCAAGTTTTCGGATATTGGGCCGTTGTGAGTTTAAGGTGATCGTTTGACCCTCTGAGCTTGTTTTTTCCAAAATATCATGCCAGTGATGCTGGTGAGGCTGGCGATGTTGTGGAGGTGCTGCTGGGGATGCAAAAGCGGACGCGGGGGGATTCGAACACCCCAAGGTTTTTAAGCTGCGGCGCACCCTCTCGTATAAGGGAGCGTCTTGGAATCGCCGCGAGGCACGTGGCCACCCCTCCCCCCCCTGTGCCTTGGACGCTTGGCGATCATTCGGCGAATGACGTGTTTTGCCTTGTAGCACGTCGATCGAACGGACTGATCAGACGGCTTGGACGCATCGGACGAATCGGACAGGTCGGACTGATCGGACCGGGGGTTCGTGCTTGGGGTTGGGGGACTGCTGCTTGAACTGATACGAAGATGGGACTGACTGATCGGACTGATCGGATCGGGAGCGGCAGACCGGGCTTGGGAACATGGATGGCAGACTGATCGGATTGATCGGACCTTTGGGATGTGCCAAGAGCGGTTACTCTACCCGGCTACCCGGCAGACACATGGCACAAAAAAACGGTTTGTGCCATCTACTTTGGCTCCGATAAGGTCAGAGTGATCGGAGTGATTGGCCTGATCGGACTACGTGAAGGGCAGCGCTCTGCGGACTGATTGGATGGATCGGGGATTGGGCCCCTTGGTAGCGGGGGATGTTGGTAAAGTGATTCTGCTGGGATTTAAAAGTTTTGGCCATTTTATGGTCAAGTGTATTTGCCCGTTGTAGCCAGCGATGCCGGTGATGCTGGGGATGCTGGTGATGTCTACTCATGTTGGGGGTGGTTCAATTGAGGCGCATATGTTCCTCGCAGCGGGTCCAAATGAGCCACCCGCACTCCCCCGACTCAGACGGACTGAGCAGGCGGCCCGGACGCGGCAGACTCATCGGACTCGTCGGACTGCGCGGACGTCGGACGCATCGGACGCGTCGGACTTGTTGGACACGTCGGACCGTCGGACGTCGCGGACGGCCCTACATCAGGCCTGTCGAACTCGTCGGGCGGCGCGGGCGTCGGACTCCTCCGACTTAGCGGACTCGGCAGACACCGCGCGTGGCCTTGCGTCGGACTCGACGGGCGCGGCAGATGGCTCTACGTCGAGTGGCCCTACGTCGGACTCATCCGACCCGTCAGACGCCGAACACGCCTGCGTCCGACTCGTCGGACGGGTGGCCCCGCCCCGGAACCATCGGACCTTCGGACTCGACCGGCGGCTCGTCGACGCCGCGGACTCTACGTCGAACGGGCCGGACACTCCGGGTGGCCCTACGTCGGACTTGTCGGACTCAACGGGCGCCTCTACGTTCAGCTCGTCGTGCTCGGGGGCTTCCTTTTTCCGAATAGATCTCAAGTGTCCATCTTATATTTTCCGGTGGTTGGGAAGATTCCGCGCGATGTGGCGCGCGCGCGTGCGTGCGCGTGCGTGCGCGTGCGTGCGAGATCTCTTTGAATGAAACAGATCAATGTAGTGAAGGAAGCACAAACGCATCCTTTGTCTTGTTTCGATGGCACGAAGTGTACATCTCCATGTGCTCTCTCTTTCCGTTGCTTCTGATAGTTCAGTGGTGTAGCATCATGGAGTGGAACGAAATGAAAAGGAAACAGTCACGAAATAGAAACGTCATGGAACAAAACATATTTGGATCACATGAGAGATAATGGAAGCGCAATTGCAAATGTAACAACAAGAGATAGCAATGGAAACAAGGCATGAAAAGGAATTGGAAAGAAATGGAAAGAAAAGAGCAAGAAGTGAACATTGACAGGAGCGAAAAGGACATGTAAGGAACGGAAACGGCATGGAGATACAATTCAGAGAAGTGGAAAGGAGACTCGCCGCTTCTAAACTATTCACACGGGAAATTGCGAAACGAGTTCTTTCCAGGCCTGGCCTAGCCTTGGGCGCTTCGCGAGAGGGCTCTGCACTGATCGGATGGAAGGATCGGACCGGGGGTCGTGCTTGGCAGGGCGCTGCCCGGCTTAACCGGACCGGTCGGAGGCAGGGGGCTCAAGTGGACAGACGCATTGCGGACTGATCGGACTGAGAGCGAAGATTCCGGCAGCGCGGGGGAGATTTGCACGCGGCGGATCCAAATCATTCCAACGACTTTCCGTTTGGCGTGCCATGGCGCGGCGTCGCCCTTTAGGCATGGAAAGCAATGGAATGCAATGGAAAGCGCTGGAAAGCAATGGAAAGGCAGGGATTGAAAAGAATGGACGGGAATGGACAAGACAGGGAGCGAAAATCACAGAGATGGGAACGAGAGGAAACGAGAACAGACATGTAGTCAAAATAAACCTGGAAAGGAGTGAAACGAATATGGAACGGAAAGGACATGAGAACGAATCTTAAAGACATGGAAAGGAACCTCGCCGCTTCAAAATTATTGACATGGACAATTGCGAAACGAGCGCTTTTTCGGCCCGGGCTGGTCTTGGGCACTTCTAGCTAGGAATGGAAAGCAATGAGTGGGAAGAAGGGGAAATAAGTAGAAAGATTGGAAATCGAAAGGAAATTAAAGGCAAATTCCTTTCCATTTCCAATTCCTTTCCAGTTCCTTTCCATTTCCTTTCCGGGTCCTTTCCGAGTCCTGTCCGTTTCCTTTTCAGTTCCTTTCCATTTCCATTTCCTTTCGATTTCCTTTCCATGTGCTTTCCATTTTCTTTCCATGTCCTTTCCATTTCCTTTCCATGTCCCTTCCTTTCCATTTCCTTTCCATTTCCTTTCCAGGTCCTTTCCATTTCCTTTCCTTTTATATTTCCTTCTCTGTTTCCTTTCCATATTTCCTTTCCAGTTCTTTTTCATTTTGACTTCAGGAAGTAACCAGGAAAATTAATTGAAAATCAGTGACTTTTCTTTTTTCTTTTAAATTAAAATGGAAAAAGCTGAGAATCAATTACTTTTGCTATTGTTAGTTTTTGCGCGCAACGCTGCGAAACATTTGGTATAATCTTCCCTCACACTCTCCCCCTCCCCCCCAGAGTCCGAAACCGTGCCCCGGGAAGCGGTATGGGGAGGGTAAAGAGGAAAGGGCGCTTCTCATGTCCAACACGCCGCCTTTGTCAGACATTGGGGGTTCAAAGAGTCAGGAACTTAGTGTGTGCAGATGCCAGGGCAGTCGATTCTATCGCCATTGCTTCTGGGCTCTATGATGACAAGTACATCTTGGCGCAGGGTGTAGACAGCAACCTGTGTCTCGGGCTCGCTACTCACAAGTTGTGGAACCCGTTTCAAAGTCATTCATGACTTTGAGGGTAGGAGCTCAGTAACCAGGTCGGGTTGGGCAGAGCTATCGCGCGGCATGGCGGTTGGTGAATGCTTCACTCACAGGCTTGCAATCTCAGGCATGCAGCAGGGCGAGACCACACGCAGAATGCCACCATCGCTTGCTTCGTCAGTCATGTAGAGCTGCTGGCAGAGATCGCAGGCAGTTTCAGCGGCGACTGCATCTAGTCTGCTTTCAGGCAATGTCAATATGCGCGCCACACAGAAAATGCCACTCGCCAACGGCACACCCACGCGCACTCGTGCGCATGACCTGACTCCATGAAGAACTGATGAGGCAAAATTGATCCATATCTGGGCTGTTGCTGGAGCAGTCAAGCTGGATTGTTTGGCACCAATTCCTTGAGAGTTTGGATGAGGCATCGTGCTTATAATGGAAGACGATGTGCTGATTCCGGCAGATGTGTTGCAGAGGCGGGTTGCCCGTCATGGACGTTGGCAGTTGAAAACAGGGCCACCCCCTGCAGTGTGTTTGGGTTCATAGTGTAACACCATCAAGCCTACGGAAAGTTCTTGCCCGACAGCGATTGAAACGAATGGTAGTGTCCCCGGCGTGTCGCCTTGCGCGTGGCTCATGCTTCAGAAACTTCGCTAAGGATCACACATGCTCTGGAATGTGCCCCACCAGACTGGACGCTGCTGAAGGTCTCTTCATGGGGCGCCGTGCGATCATCCAATGTGGTCAGGCGCCCGATGTCGGACGAGTGAGGTTGGGCAGCTTAATATTCTTTTGTGAGAAACCTGCGTGACCGCAACAGCTGGGGCCTGCTCACATCCACAGGCAGAAGCGCAGCGTGTGGCAGGCAGGCCGCATTTGTTGGCGTTGCCTTGGCAAAGCTGCTTTATTTGGTTAAAGTGCTGCAAGGACTCTCATATCTCATAGATAGCTTTTTCAGGAACCTTCACGGAAGCTTTGGGGAGCCTTTGCAGCAGCTTTTCAACGGAAAACCGTTAAAGCGGACATCAATTAACATTGAACATTTATCTTATTAAAAAGGTTTCATGGGCGTGATTCCTTTTTTGCGTTCAGTTCCCAGATCACAAGCCCAATTCTGTTCGAGTCCTATGCGCTTTCACGCTCTCTATCGAAGTGGAAGTCATAGTTTTAGCTGAAATTGAATTGAAATCTCACTGCCAACCGAAAAATGTTGGTGTGACCCTGGGCTTTTCAACCTTGCGTTGCCGCTCTTTGGCAGCCTTGGGCTGCTGCAGGCAACACATCTGGAAGCGCTGCCGTGGCTTCACCGAGTGTCAGAAAAACCGGCGCGATCCATCACCTTCTCGCGCTTGCAGCACTTCTTGAGTCCAAAGCCTCTCCGGCACAGGCTTGCAAGCCAGGCAGGTCTGCGACTTTTTCAGACGCCGTGCTTTCTCATGGCCGTCTTTGCCGCCGTCGGCGTCCAAGGGCGCTCCATGTCTGTGCGGGGCATGAGTTCGCCTTGTCCTGCGCGGAAAAGAGCAGCCGCAGCTTCTGCAGCTCCCGGCGCCGCGAATGCCACGTTAGGTGGATGGCGACGAACGCGCCAAGGCGTCCTAGCCCAAGATCGGCCCCGCTTGAAGCCACTATGTCCGGGCTGGCTTGGGGTTTGGAAAGGATGGCTTGCTTTTTTGCCGTCAAGAGGAGGATGTTGAAGGAGCCCGTGTCGGGAAGGGCAGGAAGAGGCTGAAGGTCGCAGCCAGGCCAGCGGTGCTGCGCGCTTGCCACTGCGCAGTCCAGACTTGCTGTGACATCGGTTCACTTGTCGAACAACTTCGTTGCCTGTTGCGAGTGAGATGTTGTGCTCTTGAGGTGCCCCGGCAACATTAGAGCAGCCTTGGCTGAAAAGGCAGCGTTCCAATAGCTAAGAAACCCACACTCAGTGGGTGGGTGGGCAGGTGGGCGATGCACTCCTGGAACAGATGCATATGTATACATCCGAAGGGCGCGCTTCCAGGCGACGTTTCGCGTAGGCGAAACGCAAATCTTGGTTGTTTGACCTTCAGCAAAACGTCTTTTTAGTCAGCCCAAGCACCTTGTAGCAGATGGTTCCCTTGGCGTGTTTACTACCACGTTGCGATGTGGGATTCATCAAACAGAGGGTTGCCTTGGGTGTGTTTACTACCATGTTGTGATGTGTGACTTATGAAGCAGAGGGTTGTCTCGGGCGTGTTTACTACCATGCTGATGTGGGGTTCATCAAGCAGAGGGTTCCCTTGGGCGTGTTTACTACCATGTTGTGGTGTGGGGTTCATGAAGCAGAGAGTTCCCTTGGGCGTGTTTACTACCATGTTGTGATGTGGGATGCATCAAACAGAGTGTTCCTCGGGCGTGTTTACTACCGTGTTGTGATGTGGGGTTCATCAAGGAGAGGGTTGCTTGGATTTACTACCATGTTGTGACGCGGGATTCATGAAACAGAGGGTTCCCTTGGGCGTGTTTACTACCATGTTGTGATGTGGGAACCACCAAAAAAAGGGTTCCCTTGGGCGTGTTTTTTATTGCCATGTTGGACTCATCAAATGCGGAGCTTCCTTGTCTTGACTTTGAAACCATAATACCGCCAAGACACAAGATCCAAGATTGCTGTGAGGGAAGTCCTGGATCCATGAATGGCCACCGAACCAACCTTGATCCCGATATTAAGGTTTGTTTGCAGTGTATCTAGATTTCTGAACCCCGGTGTGAAGGAGATCCAAGACCCAAGATGCAAGATTGCTGGGAGACGTTTGAAGGAAATCTTGGATCCATGAATGCCTCCCTGAAACCCTCACACAGGGGTGAAGGCTTCGAAGTACCGTATATAGGTTCCTTAATACCGGACACAACGGAATCCAAATATCAGTGTTCCTTCCTTGGCGCTCAAAAGTACAAAAGAGTTCTGAAAAAGATTGTGAAAATACAGAGAAACAGAAGCGCCAGTGGTAGATATATTTGTATATATATATATAGATATACATATACACGCTGACGGGCGCATACGCAGGCACCCCCACGCAATGCTTTTCATTGTTTGCATGCGCCCTGCCAGTCATTTGCAGGCAGTTCGCAGTGGACTTCTTGACGGAAACAACGCGTTGTTTTTGTCAGCCTTGCAGGACTCTTGCTGATTGTGTAGAATACTATGAAATCGGCCAGTTCTGGAACGTTCTCATTTTTGATGAGTTCAAGCAACGATGCCTGACTGCGCAACCTGCCTTAAGAACAGCTGATCGAATGGAAGTTGGGACGAGTTTGCATTGGATAAGACCAAGATTTCGCCCAAAAGCTCCCCATCAATCTTGGATCTTTCATCTTGGACTCACATTCCTTTATACCGGTACTAAGAATATTGAATATAAGTGCTAAGAAATCTGAGCACGGTAGTTAGATTTAAGGGGGGGTCACTCAAATAGAAGGCCCCCCAAAGGTCGTGCAGTAGTTCGGCGCTTTGGATCTAAATGCTGTATTGAGAAGCTTAGATGCAGCAGTCGCGTTTTCAAGGGGCAAGTTGACAAACATGTCCACAACTGTTTGCGTCGGCAAGCTTCAATGTTGAGTATCCTTCGTATTCGGGACAAGGCTTTCCTGGTCAATTGTGATTTCTTGGAAAGATGGTTTTCCTGTCTTTGCTGGTCCGGTCTTGTTTCTGTAATTTCCCAGGGGCCGGGCGTGGCTACACCCACAGTATCGTCTTAAACTGACTCTATGCCCTTCTTCTTGTCAAGATGTTGGCGAAAGCTTTCCGCGGCAGTTGTGAATCTTGAGCCCAGAACATGTGCGTGTCTTCGTGCAAGAGGTGCCCAAGTTCTCCTGTTCTGGAACTTGCTCAGAGAGCTTGCGCAGAGAATCGTGCGCGAAGAAATGCAGTAAGACAGCTTTTTCTGTGCAAAAATGCGGCTAATTGGGCCTAGGCAGAGTAAACTGTGTTTTCTACAGATATTTTTGTGCAAGTAGGAGTACCAACTTTCCTTGAGTGGGTCTTTCTAGAGGCTTCTAGCATGCCTGTGTGTGAATACATTGTTGCTTGGAACATTTTCTTGGAATTGTTCAGCGGGGATCCCTCTGCCCAAAACTAGATGAAATGGACATGATGGACTGCAAGCCTGCGTGTCTCTGCTGAAGTGTGCTGCAAAAATAACTCAAACCGTACAGCCTGTTAGTGCAAACCAAGCAAAACGGTGCACCTACTGCAAAACCATCAAAATTATACAGCCTGCGCGGCGCGCTCAATTCAGCAAAGCGTTGACAGCCACGGCGCGCAACCATAAATTGGGCTTGTGCCAACACTTGTTCGCACTGGAATTGCTGCAGGCTTTCATTTTCCAGCTTCAAAGCCTGCTGTCTGTGATGGACTTCGAGGCTAGGAAGGTGTGCCTGGGAAAACGAGGTGCTTAAATCTCCGTTGAGTGTTCGCAAGTGGTTTACCAGCATTACCAAGCATGTGTGGCGCCTGATCTTGCAAGATTTTTTGCGGGTCAGACATGTCCGGTGTTTGTACACCTTTAGTCGAGTATCTCCTTGTCACAAGACTTGAACATGCGGCGGATATGCTGGCTAATTTTGGCTCAGTCAGACTTCCTCATTATGTGCCTCAGATGATGACAAGCGTGCACAAGCGCACAAAGGTGCGCGCGCACAGGGGCACACCCCCGCATACGGACACAAAATGCACGAACGCAGCGGGCAAACATGAACACACACACACACACACGCAAAAGCTGCAAACACGCGCAAGCGCAGACAAAGCACGCTGACACGCGCAGAAGCGCGCGCACATATGCACACCATCAATCGCACACTTAGACTCCTGAAGGAGGAAGACCTGCAAATGCGAGTGTAATTTGAATATCTCCCACGCGTCCGGTGTTCGAGTCAGAGCAGCTTCCCTTTCACTACTTGGAGAGGGAGACATCAAGCAACAGTGGCTCAATGGGGGCCAAAAACACTTTGAATCGCACGAGAAGCGCAGATACGCGGAGTTGATCAGGCTCCTTACACCGCCTGTTACAAAGCGTACCCCGGAAGAGGCGGCGGCGCAGGCGTCCAGGCCAAATCAACTTATCACACGCGGAAGGTCGATGCAAGCGATGAAGTCTCTTCAGTGGAGTTGGCAGTAGGAGCCAGCGGGGCGCCGTTTCAACCAATCAGGGAGCCCAGGCAATCGGGGGTTTCAAGAAAGCGCGCTCTGTCTGTGTTTCTTGCAACTTGTGGATGTTGCTGAGAGGCCCAGCGTAGATGACACCAACGCAATCACCACCATGGTTGGAAAGTGGTGAGGTGGACAAATGGCAGGGGCTTATCGACCAAGGGGTCTCTGATATAAATCGGTGACGCGCGGGCGCTTTCCGCAACTTTCGGCCGACTTTCGGGATGTACAGATGGCGGACGCAGCGCAGGCATATATCTAGGAGGACCTGCGAGGGGCCGAATCGGGCAAGTTCTCGAGACCAGCTAGACTGAAGAAAGCCCTGCATGGACATCTAGATGCCGGTACGTTCTGGGAACAACATTGCGCTGAATCAGTGCGGGCTCCATCTATGTTCCCGACAAGTTGCCTAGCGGTGCGTGGATGATCTCAAGATGGCCGGACCTACGAAGAATCTTCTGCAGGGCAGGGTGGGCCTACGCGAGAAACTCAACATAGAGCCGGAGACGGGCCTGGATATATACTTGGGCTGCGCAATCAAAGCAAAGAGTCAGTCGTCCTCAGCAACAGGTGCGGATCGCGGGGTGCGATCTGCTCCGTCAAGTTGGCCGTTTGGCAAGAAACATAACCAGAGGATGACATGACTCTGATTGTATGTCCCGTGGCTCCTGATCGTCACACACACATGGCCTGGTGCGGCTGTTCGGAACCAAGGTTTGGGGGCAGCCATGGTGGCTTTGACTGGAAGCGCGGTGGAGTTGTGGCAGATCAGGGTACCTCAGGCAGGCAACCACTGACATCATGCAGACACAGAAACAAGACTAGGGGGAGGAGCCGGACCACTTGCTGCCGATTCCGCGCAACAACCTGTCCCCTTGAAGTGACCGAGGCCGTTGACACTGTCTTGGTAGATGGCAAGCGGACAGTGTGGCAGATGTGTACAGGGCGCTGATCTGGAAGCAGGTCGCACAAGTGCCAACGTTGCTTGGGGTGTGGAACCTGAGCCACATCATCATGGTCTTCAACAAGCTGGATGCCCAGGCGGCCAACTGGACTATGCCTTCTGCAGCAAAGCGGCCCGGGTTGTTTTGTACAGTTTCTTGGAGCAGCCTTCAGCAGCAAATACGCATGGCAGCAGAGGCTCCAGCGAAAATGTAAGCCGGGGGAAGTTAGTCCGCTTCCTGGCAAGGCTGTGGAAGGATGCCGTGGATGCAGCGATGCGGGCGGTTTTTTCAACAAGGCTGTTCTGCGTGTTCGCGGCTGATCAGGTGAACGCGCGCCGTCTAGAAGTGAGAAACGCTCCGCAAAAAAGCAGCCGATTTCTTTTCCGTCCTGCCCGGTTTCAGGATTGAATTTGTAACCTGGACGGAGTGCTAGTTCACTGGCACCGAGTTTGTGCTCCACGGAACCAAGCTTGATTTCAACACGGGTACACGTGCACAGGGGTATTCCGCCAGGGCAGGCAGTTGGGTTCGCTGCACTACCTGCCTGCCCTCAGTTTTGGAATGATTCAGCCACTCAGGCTTGGTAAAAATTGGTCCGTCGCTGCTGAAAACAGGCTGCGCCGCCAGGGAAAGTACTCACCTGGAGAGCCCTGGAAACAAAGGTACCCTAGCATTTTCTCATATGGCCCCACGCAATCTTTGATCGCGATCTCTTTTTTTGCCAGTGATGGACACGAGTGGAAACGGGCTCGACACGGTCCTCAACCTTCTCCCATGCGCATTGACCAAGAATCAGGTGCACGGAGCGCAAGTTGCCGAAGGCAGGCCGCCGCAGGACCATGTCCTTCATGTTGATGTCCCTCTCCTGATGTGAAGCAGCCTGGGAGGCCCGCGCAGCTTTGCTTGCGTGCCAGGGCGACTTGTTTATCAACTTCCTCCAGACGTATTGCGCGCCTTCAACACGCTCGCGCGTTTTTCACATGACTCCCTCCAAGTTTCCAAGCCGCTGGCGCTTGCTATGTGCCTTGCAGAATCGCTGTCGCGCGTTTGCGTCTTACGCGAGCGCAAATGGCGCCAACACACACATCCGTTTTTACGATCACCGTGGCGCAACGTTGCCAAGCTTGCGGTGACGGGGTTCGCCTCACAGCTCTGGACCCTGGTGCGCCGACTTTCGTGCTAGCCTGGTAAGAATTTGAAGGTTGGTTGACAGCGGTGACGCAAAAGCAACACTCGGGTCGTCACTATCATGCTGGAGGACGGTTTTACACCCAACTACGGGGCGCGGGTCGCCACGTGTGAACAGCCTGTGCCTGAGGTTCGGCGCGGTCTATTCTTTTCGAGCCCCTGAAAAGTTGTGAATATTGAAACGACAGGAGACTGACCAGAGTCACGCAGGACAGCATCATGCACGAGTTTGAGGGATGCAGCTATGGTCTCAAACAAGGGCGCAAGAAGAACTCTTGGTGGCGCGTTGTTTCTCACGCGCTGTGTGAAGGGACGGAAACTAGGGAGACTCAGGCAAATACGACAATAATCGTCAACACCACCCTGCGGCGCTTTACTGCTTGAGCGAAGGGTGTACTTTCTTTAGCGCAGGGGTACAACCTGCGGACACTTATTTGCGGTCCCACCGGATCTGCTAGCCATCAAGTTGACGCGGAAGTAGCTTCGTCTGCGTGAGATCTGCGCACAGCTGATTGGCGTCATTGATGGCCTGAGTGTGTTTAGGACTCTGTGGCGTGTGCTCTGGTAGTGTGTTTTTCGTTACAAACTCACCAGTGTGTCGGCCATGGTTGAAGAGACTGTAGAATCTGCAACGGAAATCAAGAACTACGAGCGCAGTGTGGTCAAAAAGTTCTCTACCCCATTGTCTGGACCTGTGAGTTCGGCTTTGCCCCCGCAACTCTGTGGGCCAGTTCTTCACCAACTTCACCTCCTCGTCAACGTGGCTCCAACCCCTGGCCAGGTCTTCGCACCGTATCGGAACCAACTTACACGGCCCGATGGCTTTTTTTTCCGTTTCATCGCTGCCGCAGACGAACATCGAGGTTCACGAGCCCCAAGCAGAAGCTGCTCATTGGCCAGAAACTTGTATCTTTCGCCTGATCTTTCGCCTGAGCTCACCTTGTAGTCAGGGAACACGTTTCCCAGTGGTTGATCTCATCTGGTTCGAAGTTGTCGCTTATGTTGCGTTGTCGGAGATCGCGAACACAGTTGGCGTTGGCCCAATGAAAGACATGGGTTACCAGGCAGTCCAGGACACTATAAGGTCAATCATGTTCAAGTCCGGCTGTAGAGCAGTAAACGCTTGAAGATTCCTATACGGATCTCCTTGAGGCCGCAGCTTCAGTGAAGCGAAGATGATTCAACAGTTTCTTCCGGGCGTGGTTGAAACATTTGACGATTCCTTCCATGGCCACGTTCATGGCGGATATTTCAGGGTGCGATACCAGCCGGCTCTCCAGTAACAACATCGACCGTGTGTTTCAGCGTGCTTGGTTGAGTTCTTTGATCTTTTTGGGAAGCTCCCAATCTGGATCTTTGCCTGAGGTGCTGACGATGACGTCGCTGAATGTTTCGCCAACTGCAAGGTTTCGTTGAGCGCGGTGGAATTCCGTCTCTGGATCTGTTCAGCGGAACCTTGGTATCTTCCGAGTCTGACAGGAGTCCATACCACACCCTGAAGTATGCTCCAGACATGGCGCATAGCGGTTGACAAGATGAACCCTGGCGGTTTCATCTCCTCTGCTTCCATTTTTTGAGAGGCGCATGCCTGCTGTTTTCGTCAGGTGTGCTGTGAAGGTTCTGGATACTTTCTCCTGAAGGAATAGGATCATCTGTGCAGTGACCCACATCTTTTTCTCATTGGCCTTGAGGAGTCTTGCCGTTGCCTTCACATTTCATGATGTCGTTGGTGGTCCTTGTGTACTGAGAATATCCCTTGAAAGGTTATCATATCTGTCTCCAACGTGGCTCCAGATCTTGATTGAAGAGTTGCAGACCATAGGCGCCCTGGTGTCTCTCGACAGCTTGTGCCCCTTGGGCAGCTTATGCGTCTTCTCCTCCTTTCGAGCTTATGCGTCTTCTCCCTTGCTTCTTGCCCGCAGTCTGGCGCGCGAAGACTTGAGATTGTACACCTTGCAGGACGAAGCTGATGCAACTGAGCGCCATGGGCTTTAAGGAAAAGAAGGCTCACTATAAAACCTTGCCAAGTTCTGAAACAAGGCACGAGACACACCGAAACTTGGACTTTCATCAACTTAGAC